CCTGCATTGCCTGCCTTCGATCAGCCCGCCCCTCCAGACATCACCTGGTGCCATGGATCCAGAGCCTTCTCATGACTCTCACTCCAAACAAATTTTCCCTGGAGTGGGTCCCTGGCCACGTTGGTATAAAAGGCAATGAAGCTGCCGACAGGCTGGCCCGCTCCTCACTGGATCTCACCCAGATCACACAGGTGCCCCTCTGCTCTGCTGACACCAAACAACTCATCACTCAAACGTTTCACACTAAATGGCAAAGAGCATGGTCTGCACAACCGCAAGAACTCACATCTTTCAAGCAAATACTGGGCCCACTAGCCCAACATTCCCTTCCTCGTCCACATCAAGTTGCCATCACACGGATTCGACTGGGAGTCTGCCTACTGACGCATGGCCATCACTTCACAAGCTCACCCCCATACCAGTGCTCCTCATGTCAATGCCGGCTCACTCTTGACCACCTCTTCATTAACTGCCCTGCACTGTCTCCTCATCGCAACCAACTGAAAGCTGCTTGCATCCGCCTCGGAGTCTCCTTCAGCCTGTCCTCGCTCATAGCCCCTGAATTTCCTGCTGATATAATTATCAAGTACCTCCAAGACACCAACATGCTTGACAAAATTTAGTAATCCACGAAGATGCTGAATGGGGGCACCAATACTTCAGTCGGTGACGCGCCGCATCTTAACCAAGTAACCAAGTAAGTAGTATTGTTTATCATCCTGTCCCGCCAGTAACAACCCCGGCTATCCTTCCTGTCGTTAGTGTTGTAGCCTTGTTGCTTGTAGCCTTGTAGGGCTACATTTGACAAATCTTCAGGTTCAGGGCTTCCATAAATCGTTGACTGCAATGACTGGAGTTAAAGATCAATGACAACTGACAATTTGTGAAACTTTTAGTGCCGAATCATATCGACATTTAAAATATATTGTAGAGCCTATATATTGTTGAATGAAGGAAAGGGCCAACATCTTGCTTCTGTCCGCTCTGGGTTGTCTCCTGTCCCATGGGTGCAAGTCAATATCGCCGTGTCACAGTAGTTTTAACCCGCCTTTGTCTTGGTCATGTTGGGGTTCGTTCTTACTTCCTACCTCCATCGTTTCGGCATGGCTGACTCTCCCATCAGTCCCAGACCCATGTGCCTTCATTGTGGGACTGAAGAAACTATCAAACACTTTCTCCTTGCGTGTGTTCAATACGATCTAGTTAGACAGGAGATGGTCTCAAGTATTCATGCCCTGGGAGTGGGAGTCCCTCACACAACTGTGTGTGTGCTCCTTGTCCTTGGTGGAGCCTAGGCAATTTCCTTAGAAGAGTCCAGCGCTCCATTATGAAAGCAACTGCTACGTTTATTACCAAAACTGGTCGTCTAGCTACCTTATAGACTATAAGGTAGCTAGACGACCAGTTTTGGTCGTCTATATAGGCTATATAGACGTCTTGGCTCTAAGGCTTATAGCAAGTGAATTGTAACATATTAAATAAGAAACTGCCAATTGCCACTTCTCATTATGAAAACTGTCAACAAATGACAACAATCTGAAGATGGTCTCCTGTGTCTGAGTGTGTCCTGTGAGAGTGAAATGAGGCCAGATATGCCTGATATGGTGAAACTTGAAATAACTACCTAATCATTGATGAGTCCAGGTGAAACAAGTGGTCAACGTGTCTGCTTCCTCACCTTCAACCCATAAGGGCCGTAACCACCACCACCTGGCACCATAGTGGCAAAGCAGAGAGTTTTTTAGACTCTCCCTCAAGTTCATTTTTGAGTCCTATAAGTAGACCAGTAAAGTATCCTGGATACCAGCATTATCATACTTAAGAAATTGGTTTAAATCTTGAGTAAATGAGGAAATTAAAAATGAACTGATTCTAAAAAAGCTCTGGTTTGCCACTATGCCTGGCACCTATATTGTTGAATAAGCAATGAGCCAGGTGAGGATGTGGTTTGCAAGTTGCAACCTCAGTCTAAAGTCTAAACTCAAGCATTTACGATTTGAAATTACGTATTGTTTATTAGTAGGTATTACAATCTATAGCCTATTCTGCCTATAGAGTATAGACCATAGTGGCAAAGCAGAGAGTTTTTTAGACTCTCCCTCAAGTTCATTTTTGAGTCCTATAAGTAGACCAGTAAAGTATCCTGGATACCAGCATCATCATACATAAGAAATTGTTTTGCATCTTGGGTAAATGAGGAAATTAAAAATGAACTGATTCTAAAAACTCTCTGGTTTGTCACTATGGTATAGACCATATATAATTTTCTTAGTAAGTTAGTATTGTATAATTTATATTGATATTGCATATGCCTCATCACCAGGGTGTAGAGGGTGGAAGCAGCATTGCCAATATATGGGTTTTTAGGCCCAAAGCGTCGCCAACCATTTTCAAGATACGTTGGCAGCCTCCCCGGGAAATTTTTAATGAAAAGCTATTTACGCAGAGCAATGAAAGCAAGTGTCTACTGAACATGTGATAACGCAGTCTAACTGCTCTAATGTGACTGCAACACGCTCAACATGTGACTGCAACACGCTCAACTACGCAATCGCAAACTTGTTGTTGTTGTTTACATTTGCGTAGTATATTTTAGTGGGAACTCATCGGAACTGATTTCAGGACAAGTTTCACTGCACCCTGATCCATCCAATGTACCGGAAACCTTAATTTTTTCTAAATTGTTGGCCAAAGACTGACAAATATATTAAATGCAAAAATTTCAATCTAAATGTGTCGGCAAGATCTTCTGAAGTAGCAAATTTTGCTATTGAAGCATCGCCAAAGATCTTGTAATATTCATCCACTCTCTGCACAGACTCACAGTGGCCTCATCACTCACTGTGCAATAGTGGCCAAAGAGGATATTTTTTGGCTGCCCATCCCAAGTTCATTTCCAAGTCCTATAAGTAGAGCTAGCAGCTAGCCTAGTAGCCCAACTGTGAACTGCCCAAGGCTGTAAAGTAGGGCCTTTCAGCTCGAGATATTGGCATTTTTTCAAGCTCTCCATCAGCCACCTTGATTTTGAATTGGCGTCCATGGACTATGGACGGTCATAAACTATGGCTGATCATAAACTATGGCTTGGGCAGCCATGACCTATCATAAACTATAGATTGCTCGATCAGCCCTGCCATCACCGTGCTCATCTTTAGCTTGTTTGATTGCTTGTATCTGTCACTCGATCACAATGTGCATACGCCTGGTGCACCCAGCCTCTAGGCCCAATGCTAGTTATGCTACTGCTGAAAAAACTGGTCAATCTATTGTGTTCTAACATGATCTATTGTGTTCTAATCAGTCTAATGTGATCTATTGCGTTCTACCGCAATCTATTGTGTTGTAACGCAATCTATTGTGTTCTAACGTGTTCTATTGTATTCTAAGACTAAGGTGATCTATTGCGTTCTAACGTGATGTATTGCGTTCTAACGCAATCTATTGCGTTCTAACGTGATAAATTGCGTTCTTACTCAATCTGTTGCATTCTAACACAACCTATTGCATTTTAACGTGATCTTTTACATTCCAACATGATCTATTGCATTTTAGCGCTATTTGTTGCATTTTAACGCAATCTATTGATCTATTGCGTTCTAACGCAATCTATTGCACTCTAAAGCAATTTAATGTAACCCAAGGCAATCTAAGGTAACCCAAGGCAATCTAATGTAGCCTAAGGCAATCTAATGTAACCTAATGTAATCTAATGCATTCTAATTCAATCTAATATAACCTAATACAATCTAATTCATTCTAATTCAAACTGGCACTTTCTACTGCAATCTAAAGCATTCTAATGCAATCTTTGAGAAAGACAAGAAACTTATTGAAGGTGTTTTGAGGAGAGCAACTCAAGTCGTCCCAGGATTTAAGGATGTGGCTTATGAGCAGCGCCTGGAGAGGATGAACATTCCTAGTACCTATGGCATATAGGAGAACTTGTGGCAACCTTATCAAAACTTACAAATACACTCATAGCTATTACCAGAAGGAGAATTTATTCACGCTGGACACGGAAGGGATCACCAGGGGTCATCAGTTTAAAATAAAGAAACCAAGGTGTAATACTACTGCAAGGTGGCACTTCTTCTCTCATCGTGTGGTTGATCGGTGGAACGGCCTGCCAGCGGAGATTGCCAAGGCGACAACACTGAATGCCTTCAAGAATCGACTTAACTCAGTTATGCGTAGTTATATGTAAATGTGGAGGAGCCTCCCACCAGAGTGCGACCACTGGACAATCGGGCTGGGCGCTCTTAGGGAGCACGTGTTGCAAATTTTTTTGACTTGACGTGGCCATGTGGCCATTTTTTTAGTTGATTTGTGTTTGAATGCAAGACAACGAGACTCGACGACATTCCCTCGTCGGCCTAATCATCTGCGTTGATTCATGCTATGCTATGCTAATCTTTAGTAACCTTGTTTAGTAACCAGAAGGATTACTAGAAACAAGAACCAACACCAGGGGCCACGGCTGTAAACTAAAAAAATTGCGTTGTAACGCATCCATGCAACATTTGACATCCATGCATTGTTTGACGCTCCGAGTATGAACGCCTTCAAGAACAGACTAGACGAAGCTATGCAGGAGTAATGTTCAGTCATAAAATGCCTAGCAAATTATGGACCAGGCAATAAGTCCAGCAGCTATCTCAATCAATCGTCAGTTATGGAAAGATCGGGTTCCAAAAGCCAGATCCCTTGTGATCAAGTCACAGAATATTCAAGAATCGGCAACAGGCCATGGGCCTATTTCTTCGTGCGACACTTCTATTCTATTCTATTCTATCACAGCATGTCTTCCATAAATTTGGTAACACAACTCAGTTGAACTCACTTGTGACTGTGACAAGCCTTGTAGATTCTCAGTCATGGTATACTTTTTTTTACAGATTTTTAGTGATTCCTGAGTATTGGCATTATATGAACAATTTTAATTTTTATAGTGATATAATTGTAATTTATTAGTCTAATAACTTTTATTTTAGTGTTTAAAACTGTAAAATCATTGATATTACTATTTATCCTGGCTATTTTAATGTAGAAAGTACATAATAACTGCATATTGGATCTGATTTGCCAAGTGGAAGATAAAATGAGTTTAAAAACATGTGTCAGTTTAAAGAATATATCTAGAATATTCTATATGTTGTTGCTACAATATTTCAGCTTGGCTGAAAACACCATAATCAGGTAAGACATTGGAATCAATGGTTAATTACCAATGCCCAGCCAGATCCTGGCCCAAGTAGTAATTTTTGACAAAGCATTGGTAGGATTAAAATAAACAAGCATAAGCAATAATTTCACAAGTCACTTTTAAGGGGAGCGTCTGGGACAAAATGAAAAATTTTGACTTTTTCAGTTTTATACTCGTCTTAAAGCTTACATTCTGACGCATCTAACGGTACCAAAACCATCTATGTATGTTGATTAATGCGTTCACAACACACCAGGGGTGGTTAGGGGTGGTGGAGTTCTTTAACATTTAAGATAGGCCAAAATTACCGGTAGCACACATAAATAGCTAGTCTGAACACGCTGTGCTTCAGTTATCTGCCTGCACTCATATGGGATAGTTCTTGTGCTGATGTAGCTGTTGTTCACACCATCCTTGACAGTTGACAGAAATTGAGCTCCAATATTGTCTAGTCTTGCAACCTTGCACCCTTCAATGTCTTTTTCAAGGCATGTGTGACTTTTTTGGGCCCTACTGAAAAGTTAACTTATTGTCACTGCAAACCTGTCTCCTAGAGTTTTGAAGCTACATCAATGAGACACATATCATTTGATGTGGAATAAAGATTTCTACACAATGATGTACGCGTTTTTCTGATTTCGTTAGAGTTTAGATTTTATTCTGCAAAAAGGGGGGTGGCAGGGGGTAAAATTGTAAAATTTCCAAAAAATGCCCCCACACCCACAAAAATGAGAATTTTCAAAAAACGCATACATCATTTTATAGATATGGTCTTTATACATTGAATGATATGTGTCTCGATGTTGTAGCTTGAAAATCCTAGGAGGAGATGTGATTTCTAAAGTACCCCCTTTTGGCCGTTTTCTAAGATTTTCACATTTTATTTCATTTTTTCAAAAAATTCACATGAAAAAAAGTCTTAAAATTCCATTTTACATACCTATGTATCCCAAATTTCAAATCGATCCATCCATAAATAACTGAGATAAAAATTTGCCCCAGACGCTCCCCTTAAAATCACAGGCAATACTATGCTTTTTTTCTTACTGTTTGTAAAATAATTTATTTTAAAGATTAGGTACCAGTCTTGCAATCCTGATGCTGAAGCAGCATATTTTGGTCTCTGAAAAACTAATTTTCCAACCATACTACTGATACTAGTGTAGATGATGAAAATTAATAAGAAATTTTTTTTCTTATAAATTAAAAAAAGTATGTAAGTTCTTTCACATGCAACACCTGTCTGACAATATTTAGGTCTCAGAAAAGTTAAGTTTTTAAAAAAAACAATTAAAAAAAAATGTCTAAAAGAAAACATGAAACATTTCTCAAGTCAAAGATCCTGAGAACCTTATCTTGTAATTGAAAAATATATACTTTGCAAGTAGTTTTTAAAGTTGCTTTGCATGAAATTATACCTAGGTACATCCTTTTGCTTTACTTTGCAAGCCATAGTTTTAGCTTTTTGGTCCTTTATGGACAGAAAAGCAAAAAATCTATCACTTTTTCTATCCTTATTGGATGGAATTTTGTCATTTTTGGACAGAAAAGCTGCAGCAACATTGTCAGAGCTGCATCAAGATTCCTGCTAGATGAGTTATTTTCTATTTGATAATTTCTAATAAACTACCTATATTACAACCTTACAACTTGCAAGATTTAAAATCTAAAAAAATATGTACCTTCAGAACCAAAATATTTAAAAAAAAAAAACAAGGATTCTTCTCATCACAAATATATAGACATGCTATGAGGGTTGGTTACTTTGTGAGTGCATGTTCATCTATAGTGTTGGCTAATCTTTGATTGCTTTTCCTCAATGTTCCTATTTAACTTTCAATTTAATTTATTTTTATACTTCTAAATGATATCAATTTTTAGCTAGTTAGGTATGCATTAATGTGCTTTATCTGCATGATAGGATGACAGGGTCAAAAGTGATAGTTTTTTGGATTTTATCCATGATGAAACAGATAAATGATTATTAATAAATTTCTATTTTCAGTGGCCTCTCACCAAGTGTCCTTGTCATCTCATTGGATGGTTTCAGCCAAAGTTATCTGCAGAAGTTTCATTTGCCTAATATCAAAAAAATTTTCCAGGATGGTAGCCATCCTAAAATTTTCCAGTAAGTGTTAAATTTATTTCATTTTAAGAGTGTTAAAATCTTTCCAATTCCTAATTCTATAGACCTATTTGTTCAATTCTTGGAATTTGAAATCACTCAAATGTTATTCATACAACATCTGCCAAACTGAAAGAAGCAAAATTAATAAATGCTAATGTTTTTCTCTATATTCCGTATTGTATGATATATTGAGAGTTATGCAGAGCTCTCAGATTTGTGAAGCATCTAAAGAATCTACTCAAAGTTTTTGGCATTCATTTATGAAACATTTTTTAATTAGCAGATCGTGTTCTCTTAGATAACATATTTGACATATACTCATAGCATCATCCATGTGGAATAAAATAGATCAGAAATGAGTGGAACAGGAATTAAGTAACAGGTTCTGCATGTGTGTCACATGATTAGATGCCAATGCATGGCTGACAGCAGCAGGATATTTGTTATTTATTCAATATATTTTTCCCGCCCTAGATCTTAGGAGAAAAGACATTACTTCTGATGTGATATTTTTAAAAATGCTTGAATTGATTATTTTGTAAAAATTATGCAGAGGTCATTTCTATCCAGATTTGTACTTTTATCTAGACCTCACGGCATGTTCTAATTGCTATCATCAAGAAATGTTAGGCATTTTTATTTTAACACTAAGTCCTGAAATCTTTTCTTGAATCTTTCATTTACTGCTGAAATTCCTGTCAATATTGCACCATTGTGGAATTTAAATTTTGTTTCATGTTCCATCCCTGCTATTATTCACTAGTATTTGTTACATGAAATTCCGTGATGCCAGTAAGAAATGCTTTTTATGTTCAGGAATCAGTACCCCACCAACACATTACCCAACCACTTCAGCATGGCCACAGGTTTGTATGTTGAGAGCCATGGTGTGGTTGGCAGTCCTTTATATGATGTCCAGCTTGATCAGATGCTAAATGGCACACATGAAGAACTCTACCTGCAAAATAAATTAGTTAAACCTATTTGGGTAAGTTTTTGCAATGATATTCTTGGCTGACTAAAATTTACTTCTTAACCCTATAATCTTGTGGGCTTGCGTTGAGTTACATCTTCTATGTCTGAGAGGTTTGGTTTTGATATTTGTAGTCATAATTGAGATCTTTTGCTGACTGGGTTGCTTGGAAGCTTCATATGATACGTACATCTGAAAACCTTAGTGTCAAATTTTGTCTGTCAGGTGTTTAAGAAATTTATAATATCTGTATGATTAGTAAAACTTCTTTTGTTCAGCAAAATCAAACTGAATTGAGCTTGTATATGTTCTAGTCTTATTGTTTAAAACTCATTTGAATTTTTAAATTTTTTTCTGTATGCTGTGTGTGTGATTGTTCTGTCTTCAATTTTCCTCACACTTCAGGTTGTAAATGAAGACCATGGTGGAGTTAGTGCTTGCCTGATGTGGCCAGGCTGTGGTATTGCCTACCACAACTCATCAGAAACTTACCATGTCCCTTTCAACTCGAGTGTGACATTCTTGGATCTCATAGACACGGCACTCACACTTCTCTCCCCTACAATGTTCCGCAAACTTGACCTCAAGAATCAAAAAACGAGAATTTCCAAGACCGCGCTAGTTGAATCAGGGCCACCAGATCATGTGAACTCGTCTGATGTAGGAGGCATCAGCAATGGAAATGTGCCTTCATCAACTGAAGTGCCAATTAACAGTGAAAAATATGTTAATTCGTCGACACCATCTGAGCCTGAAAAATCTAAAGCAAACTTGGCAATTCAATCTTTAGCTTCTAAAGATCAGAACAAAAGTAAACCTGCCAACCTTGTAATGTTATACTATTTCCAGCCTGATGCAATTGGTCACATGTATGGTACTGAGTCTGATGAACTCAAAGGAATTCTACAGCAGGTAACTATAATATCACTTTTCCTAGATTTATATCATTCTTTACAAGCTCTTCTCACGCTGGGCATTCTGTTCCTCAAATTTATGGTACACTTTTTGTAAAATGTGTTATATCTTGAGAATATTGGTAGCAAAACTTGATTTTGTTTGCATTTTTTTTTTGCTGCTCTACATAGGTAGTTTATGCTGCTTCTCAAACCTTTCTCTGTTCATATGTTTAAGAAAAAATGACACTTTCACGAGTGTCACTTTATCATTTTGTCCAATCTGCTTTGCTGATAAGCAGGTCCTTGAGCAGAGCAGTTCGTGCGTGTAGAACATTACACCCATAAAAATTAGTTTGTTTTTGTGATAAAAAATATAACCTACAGATTGATGAAGAAATTGGATACTTGATGGGCCAGATGAAAGCCTTACAGCTCACTGACCAAGTCAACCTGATCTTGCTGAGCGATCACGGCATGATCGACGTGCCTCCATCCAACGTGATCGACTTGAAGTCATTTGTTGATCCAAGTTATTATACCTCATCAGGCTCATCGCCACTCCTGCATATTTATACTCAGCCAGGTGATTGAGCGATACCTTGATTGATGAGAGTTATTCAGTTCCATGAAAATTCTTTATGAATAATTTTAAAATTTTCTTGTTTTCATTTTCCAGGAGTTCAATTGTTAAGGCTGATGAGCTTTTTGCAAATAAGGTTGATTATAATGGCTACCTTATTATAGTGAACAGGTCGAGGACCTAACGGTTTACTAATCAAGTGTCTTTGATATCATCATTGCCATATTAATAAAATGAGCTTTTCAAGATACCATGGAATAGTGGTGAACAAAAGCATGTATTATGTTAACCTCTTCAAGCATCATCCTGTACACAAAAAATATCTACAGGTGTTGATTCTTATTATTGTGTTCCAGGTAAATCATACACGGTTTTTGAGAAACTCCAAAATGCTTCTAAAAATAATGCCTTCAGTGTCATCATCAAAGAGAATATGCCAGAGAGTTTGCACTACAAGTGAGTTCAGTAAACTTTGAGGAAATAAACCTTTTTTGAGCAAGATTTGTCAAGCTTAGAAAATGTGGTTTTAGTTAATCTAAATTTGAAATTTCATAACTTAGCACTGCAGAAACAATAGATTCGGATTTTTTTGTCATTTTTTATTCAGATTTAAAAATGCATTATCAATTAAATGTGTCAATATTGTTGGTTTCAATATATATATATGTATATATACCTATATATATTATTATTGATAATAGTAATAATATTATTATTATATATTTATTACCATCGTTTATTGTACTGGATTTTAATGACAACATACAATCGAGGCTCATTAAGACAAACTTTCCTCACTATATTTAATAAGAATATTTCACACGGCTCCATGCTGATGTTTTCTTGCTGTGTTCTAAACACATTATTCTGCAGGCGGTGTTCATTAGCATTAAAATGCGCGTGAGTGGTGCAAATGATAACAGCTTATGCATATTGTACATATACAAATAATTGTCAATACGAGTATTTTTCCAGCATTTATAAGGGATTCCTGCTTTCCGTACTGAAAAAATCGCGTTTCAGAGTCAAGACCGTTCGGCTCTCACGGTTATGACCTCGCTGTTTGCCCTGAGATGGCTCCTCTGATGGTGGCTGTGGGTCCCTCGTTCAGAAGTAACTTGCTGGGTGAGTCCTGCCAATATTACCATTCTTTATTATGTCTAGCAAGCACATGTAAAACATTTTGAAATTCTTTCTATGTTTACTATTCTTCATTATGATAACGAATTTGCAATTATTGTAGATATCTATGTGATGTCATAATGTACAATATTACAATGCTTTGTTATGTCTAGTTATGAGGAGGTGGTTGTTAGAAAACTTTTGGTGTAAACCTGTTTCCCAGTTACCAATTGTATAAAACTAATCATTATTCAGTTCCAAGCCCACAGGTTTCCTAAAAAACAATTGATAAAAATATGTACTTTTCAGTTCCAAGCCCACCGGTTTCCTAAGAACCAATTGTATAATAATATGTACTTTTCAGTTCCAAGCTGCAGCAATGTTGACATCTTCCCGCTGCTGTGCACGCTGCTGTCTCTGCCAACGCCCCACAACAATGGCTCCCTGGAGTCGCTGGAGCTCATGCTGCGCACGCCCCCCACGCTCTACCTCCTCTACAGGACCTTCCTTGTGCTGGGTCTGTGCTCCCCGAGTGTTCTCATGCAATACTCTCATGCCATAAAAACTGAATATTATTCAAATTATTACCTAATAATATATTGGTTCTTTTTAAATAATTAATGAATCTAGTTCAGCATTTGCGTGTGTTTTGTTCTGCCCATGTGTTCATCATAGATTCACTACAATCATGAACCTTGATAATGTGTCGTGATTAGGCATCTTACATAAAATCATATAATTTGCCATGATGTTCCAGAATAAAGCATATTAAACCTTTGATTTGCACTTCAAATGGGCCTCTAAATAACGTCTTTTGCTGGGATCGTAGCTGGGCTGATAGCTGATGTTGCTGTTTACTGGAATAAGCTTTTATGATTAACAGAACATGTAAAAGTCTAATTATATGGTGGTCAACTTATGCTGTTTTGTGCTGAATGAATGTATAAATTAAGTAGTAATTATGCGCAATTAATAATATTAATCAAGAAGTAATTCGGTATTTGGTATTAATTATATTTGGTTGGCAGTGTGCGTGGTAGGACTGATGCTGCTGGGCATAGGGCTGTACTGCAAGCTCCGGCAACCGCGTGTACAGCACCACAGGCTGCGCACCGACCCCCAGTCCCTCATCGGGGGGTCTGACCACAGGTTGGTCCTGAATTATCCCTAAGATGTTCTTATAGGAATTATTCAAGTTAGTCTTACAGTGTCATTTAGCGCTACAATAAATTTGGTTTACTACCATTTGATTAATATATTTCTCTGCATGCGTGTTGTTTGCAGCTGAAAACAGCTCATTAAAGCCAGTCGTTTATGGTCTCTTTGTTATTTAACTAATTTTATCCCTTTAGACTTTTCAGGAGGTAAGAATTTATTTTATATCCATTTCATTAATTACACGTTACGATTTCTTATTTTCATACTAATTTTTTCAGAAGTTTAATAATAAAACTTCTTTATCACTTTTCAATAAAGCTTGTATCCAAAAATGAAATCATGGCGGATATCAATTTATTTCGATAAATCATATTGCAGATTCTTTGTTTTTTTCTTGCTTCATTTGTCGTGGAAATTTTGTCATAGTTTATTTTCTGGAATGTAAAGAAATTTTCATTTAAGCTGAATATTTGCAGGCCCGCCGTGGCGCGGTACTCGCGCCCCAGCGCCATCATGCTGTCCGAGGACGAGCTCGAGGAGGAGGAGAAACTCTTGTCCAGCGCTGACGTCTGGGAAGTGTGAAGGGGTGGAGGAGTGTTATAACGGAGGGAGGAGTGTGGAGGGATGGAAGAGTGGGATAGCGGAGGGAGGAGTGAGGAGTGGAAAGGCTGAGTGAGAAGTGCTATGGGAGTATGAAGGCAAAGCGAGGGAGGTTGAGGTAATGTGCAGGCGAAGAGAGAAAGACTGGGGAAATATGGAGGAAAAGTTAGGAAGTGTTGAGTAAGAAAAACAAGTTCAGTGTTGGGGCGCCTAGCTAAAACAGTGCGTTCGAGTTGCTCACACTTGCTGACCCAAGCTTGTTTTGACTCCTGGAAGGAACCTCGCCTGTCTGGTACCAATTTCCTAGCAAAGTTGACACCGAAACCTCATAGTTATTGTGATGGAAAGTATTGTTACGCCTTCAATTGAGTATTATTGAATTTGTATCACTTGATTATTTTTGCTGTGTGCTTTGTATTCTAATGCAGGCATTTAACTGAGCAAATGCTTGATCAAGTCATTTATTGCTGTATTTCATTTGCTAATAAGGTATGTTTATTGTTCCTATTGGCGCCACTTTTTAGGTATTTTGGCTTGGCGCTCCTAATTTGTTCGTTTACGTATAACGTTTGTTAGAGAAATGATGAGTAATGAAGGTATAACATTTTTATATATATAACTCAGCCTAATTTCTGATTGTTTAATGAAAAATAATTTTGCCGATTCCGATATGGCTAATTAGAGGCAGGAACCGTAATGGCTTAAGTGCAACTTTAACTCTCTACCATCGACGCTGCTTCTGGCCATTTTTCATTGTTCCACTGCAGCCATAATTTATATCTTGATCTGTGCGTTCTTGTATTGATTCTTCTCATTTAATGAGGTAGCAGCGTTCCATATGCTCCTCGATGCTTTCTTTTATATGGCAGGCAATACTGGAATACAGACGACATGCATTTATGATTACATCAACGATGTTCTTTTTTCAGCTCTGTTGCGAAAATGTATTCTAAGCTGCTGTATGAAGTCTGGGCATTACCGTGTGATGCCGTGTTTGGGCGGCCCCGTGTGATGCCGTGTTTTGGTTCGCCCCATGCGATGCCGTGTCATAGCATCACAGTGTTATGCCGTGTTCCGGGCATTACCGTGTGATCCTATGAACAAGCGAGCACCCGTTCTTTTCCCTTATTATTTAGCTTGATATGAATGTTTGCAATTCTCTAGCACGTTGTTTTCCAGATTTTTTAATGAAAGAAATAGTTTGTAATTTTCAATTAGAAATTAAGAGTTACCGCCTTGCTACTGGTCTCTTGCTGGTCCACGATGGCTTTAGCGGTGTATGCCACCGATAATGTTGATCAGTGCCAGTTGATACTATATTCCTTTTGCCAGTTTGTGCCAGTTGACAATTGACATAAAGTGAACGAAATGTGCGGTCGTTCACGGCGGTTGTGATCACTAGTCTTCCTACGCATTCCTTGCGCACGAATTGTTAACTCGTGCTAGAATAAGGCATAAAATTCTCATGTCTTTGTTGACCCGTGATATGATGAGCTGGATAATATATATGCTTATGTTAGTTTGATTTAAATGCGCTATTAAATGCTTCTGCTTTTTGTGACTAGCGCGCTGTAAAATTGGCCTGAAATGCATTTGCATTTTTTGACGCCTTTTCGGATGGGCCATTAATTTATCAATGTGTTATTTGTTCATTTAAAGCGGAAATTAATAGGCGTCCAGCGCTGGTAGTTGGCGGTTACCACGAGCCATGTTCCTGTTAGAAGTTCGCGCTCAAATAAAGGAGCGAAGTCTTGCCACCACAATACTCTGGCTAGTCCCGCTCACACAGCAAGCTTTTCTTATGGTCAACAATTATGAAGTTGATAGAAGTTTCATTTTATTCAGTAGAATCTTTTCCGTACTGAGGCTACACTGCCAGTTTGCGGGGCCTTTTCGATAATCTGACTTAGTCTTAAATTTTATTGACATAACGTTTAGCGCGAGCCGATTTTCTTGATTAATATCCATATGTTGGGTTACTTATACGCAGTTTCCTATTGGTACAAAACTATGAGCATTCCAACACTAGTCATTGATGTCAGGTGAACCGTTGTTTTCTTGGTACAAAACTATGAGCATTCCAACACTAGTCATTGATGTCAAGTGAACAGTTGTCTTCTTGGTACAAAACTATGAGCATTCCAACACTAGTCATTAATGTCAGGTGAACCGTTATCTTCTTGGTACAAAACTATGAGCATTCCAACACTAGTCATTGATGTCATGTAAACCTCTAACTTCGCCGACAGTTTTTAAACTATTAATATAGCTTGTTTTGACTTGATTCTATCTACTCTCTGAGTTAGTTTTGGGTTCTGGATTGTTCAATCTCACTGTGTGTGTTTGTGTTTTGTTTACTATTCGAAGTGTTGTTTTTTTAATTTAATTCTGCTTTATGCGTTTCATTTCAACTGTGTGCTTTCTGCTAAGTTATTTATCTTATGTGCTGTTCCTTCTCACTATTTTTAGCTCAATGTTGCTGTGTCCTATTTTAAGTTGTGCTTTAATCTCACGAAGATTCAGGTGCATCGAAACAAACGCCATAGTCTAGTCATTTCGTGTCCTTGGTTCTCATACAGACAATAATACGAGAGTAGTAAGAACTTGTGACCACACTCAACGTTTCTCTCCTTCATATGAAGTTATCAATAACTTTAATTTCAATTATACCGATTGGCGCTGGATTATTGAAGCCATAAGTATTTTCGAGCAGGTGGTCCGTATGTGTGGACTTATCATTTGCTGGATTCGCAATGTTACTATGATGTTGCCTCTAATCTTAGCAAATGGATGATTAATTATTCCCTAGTTATCACCATTGATAAAGGTTGAAAAATTCATCGATTAGTTTTTTGAGAGGTTCAATATAATCATCACATAACAATGATAACATATACCTTAAAATAAAGTGTTTGCAACGTGTGTGCCATGCTCAGTAGTGACGAACAAGAGATTATGACTTTTTATTTTCCAATATTATTTAAGACACTGTTACATCTGAATAAAATTCTGTATGAAACCTAATATTGTACTAGGTAATTCTAAAAAAATGTGCTCGAACCTAAGAAAATTTTTCCATCAGGGCTTTAAACCACGGTTTTATGAACCGAGCTTTTGTTCGCTTCTGTGCCTTTCTGCCGTCGGCCATGGAGCTGACAAGACGTTTATATTTTTTTGTAATACAGTCAATCTTATTTTCGTTTGTTTTAATGCGCCTCGTTCTTACTTACGTTCGCAAAGAAAGTTTTTACAGTAATTGTTAAAAGCATAACTACGACCCAAAAATCATTCCTAATTTAATCACAAGTGCTATAGGGTTACGTGTTCCTTGATTACATGGCGCCCCGCTGTAAAATTTGAGGTATCTGAATGAGGGCTTCAGTTTTAGGGTTAATTTGTTGTCTATGCTGTAGTTGTGGGGTTAATTTGTTGTTATTGCGTAGGCAGGATTCCTTGCATTTTCTTGTCGCAATCGAGCGAAGGCCGACGTCCCATGTAAGCGACCTGTTCGCACGGCCGTCTTCGTGGCTGTTACGGTTCGCTCGTCCCTTCTTATTTCTTCGCGTCTTGTGACGAAGGAATGAGAAAGTCGCGATGTCAACGCTGCTCCTTTTTGCTGGCTTTAGCGGCTTGGCCACTTGAGTGTTTCCGCCCCATATTGGTGAGTATTGATTTGGAAAAATTGTTGATAATCTCGACCTTCTGGTCTCGATGCTAGTCGCATTGTTCATGGCACTGGTACTCTTGTTTCTAACTCAAAATAACATCAAACTTGCTGCAACTGATCAGCAAGATTCCCTCCGTCGCACATCTGTTTCTTGATCTTTACGCTTCGAGAGGATCTTTTCAAGCTGAGCCACCACCGTTGCCAGCGATTCCTTGATGAGCCGTGATTCCTTCTTGCTGTCGTCCGCCTCTCGGATAAGAAGCTCGAGACCGCAGTGCACAGCCTCGATGCCTCTGGCTGTGTCTTTTTCTTGGCTTCCATGGCCGTATTGCGTTGCTTGGCTAATGGATCTAAAATTTGCGAAAGCTGTGCGCCGCCAAGTCCTGTGGTTCCGATAGGTTGCAACTCTACGGATAGATTCAAGGAGATCATGGGAGAGTTTGAATCCATTAACGTTTTTTGGAGACACCGATAACACGCCTCCGTAATGTGAAGGTAATAACAGAATTCGATCTCTCACCATGACGAGCATTCCGCTTGGCAAAGCCATCGATAGCCAACGGCTGAAGAAAATGTTCTCGAGTGACGCAATGAGTTGAGTTTGTCGAACTAGTCGATCCAGTCCTGCGGACTGTTGCAGACCCTGTATGTCTGAAACCGCCAAGCCGACGAGCAAGTTCATCAGAATTACAGTTCCGAATATGAGGAACATAGCGAAAATTACGTGGGCTGTTCCGGGGTAAAGGATTTGTTCACTTTTGAAGAAGCGTTCATCGTACTCGAGCTCTCCCGTCATCATCACGATGGTTTGTAGAAGTCTCAATAGAATATTTTTGAAGGGGTCGTGATTGTGGAACAACACCCCAAAACTAAGGGAAAACGCGTTGATAAAACACATGTAAGCCAACAGAAACTTGCCCAAATTTTTGGTTCCTTGAGCAAACATCTGAATGTACAGCCCGAATAGAGGGAACCTTCCTATTAACAGTAGCAGCTCAATCCAAGTGAAGAGAATCAAGTAGGCAGCCGCGTGGTACTCCCAGTCGCTCCGTGTTTCCGCGTAATATCCTGAAATAGTCAGGCTGTACGTGAATATGATGATTGGCCAAACAAGAAAATTGTCCAGAGTTGATAAGTAAGTTCTTGGCGAGTCTAGAAGCTGGACTAACTCTTTTGTTGTCAGTGCTGCCGTCATGATCCAGATGACGACCGTGAGGATCTCTTTTACCACCATTAAGCATTTGGCAATTTCCTCCGTGGTTGTCTGCCCAACACGGAAGTTCACTATGAACAGCATGCGCGTGGCCGTCAAGTTCGATGAATTCAAAGACGCTGCTGGATGTTGTGACGGCGCGTTCATCGGGACCTCTACCTTGGGTTGATGTGTTGTAGGATATGCAGTGGGGATAGGATCTACTCTTGCTTCATGAGACAAACTCGGGCACATGGGCTGTGAAGTGAAAGATTGCAACGTGTATAATGTGATTGCCAAGGTCAAAATTGTGTAAAATATTATGTTAATTATGAAGAACATCCTCACTCGCTGCCATTTGAGCTGCAGAAAGCTCTCACATAGAGGGTGTTTAAGTAGCAGCCTTTGGCCTTCGTTCATGAAGCACGTGAGTAGCCGACACTCAGGTTCCCGTCCTTTGGCTCCTCGAAACACACTGAAGTCCAGCTGCGTCTGTTGAGCAAGTGAGAGGTTATTACTTGACGGAAGAGTCTTGTATAATTTCATTCAATGTTAGCGGTACTGTGGTCGATGTAAAAATATCGTTTTCTAGAAATAATCTGTTGTCTATCTAAAATTTCGGTGCTTTATACTTTATAGCAAGATCTATCCAAATGTTTCTTCATTTGCGATAAATTTGTTGTAGTTAAATAGTTACCTGAGTTTCGGGATCGCGATGGGGATCCCTGTCGTCGTGGTCTATGGCTGCATCGAGGACTTCTTGCAGGTGGTAGAGGCCCGTGGGTGTTTTCCTGAGGATGATGTTGAGAGCTGATAGCCCTCCTTTTGTTTTAGCAGATACATCGCCTCCCTTTTTAAGAAACATTTGAACACAATAAGAAGATTCGTTCAAAGCTGCTAAGTGAAGAGGAGTGTAACCAGCAAAATCTGCAGCGTTCGGGTCTGCATTCGCTTGTATTAGCAGTTCAAGACATTCGTAGCATCTGGAACCCTTAAAAATCCCGGCGTGAAGCGGTGTTTTTCCGTCCTGATCTCTGGCGTTAGGGTCAGCTTTGTGCCTCAAAAGCTCCTGCACGGTATCGGCTGATTGAGATCGCGCACCAAGATGCAGCGGGGTTTGTCCTCGGGAGTTCGTTTGTTTCGGATCTGCGCCAGCATCAAGTAAGCGCTTCACAATCCGTACATTTCCCTCTTGCGCAGCTATATGAAGGGCGGCCATCTTGGTAATACCACGCGATGCTCGTACGTCAGCCCCAGCTTCTAATAATACTGCCACTAATTCCTCGTAGCCTTCACCGACGGCCACGTGAAGAGGTGTTTCACTGTAGAGAGTCGAAGGGTTCGGTACGGCCGAAGATTCCAGTAGGAGCTTAACACACTCAATGCTACGCGCTCGCACTGCATAGTGTAAAGCAACTTCCTTCCCTGTATTGAGTCCCGTGTTGACGTCTGCATCGGCATTAATCAACTCCCTTAGTGTCTCAATGCGACCTACTCTAGCGGCGAGCATCATAGGAGTTACTTCCTTCTTGTTGTCCCATATCGATGGGCCGGTCACTTGAGCCCCAGCATTGACGAGCTTAACGATACTTTGCGCATCACCGTTTTCTGCTGCCAAATGCAACGCACTGAACCCTTCTGCGTCAGCAGCATCTGGGTTAGCCCCAAGTTTTAGAAAATAAGATATGAGCTCAACATCATACACGCATGCCCACAATAGACAAACATCAAGCACCACACGCGAGCGACGAGTGCGAAGAAGACTTGCTAGTTCGTTTCGTTTGTTCGTCGACAACAACTCGAGCGATTCAAAAGTCTGGCCTTTAGATGAAAGTTTGTCTCTCAGTGCTCGAAGTCTCCTTTCTCTGGTTAACTTCGCATGATCTTTCCCATTGCTCGCACTTGAACACGCCTGATGACCCATTTCGCAGGCCAAGTCCTCATGCTCCGAACTTTCAGACGAGATTGAGGAGCACGACGCGGCCAACCATTGCGTCCTCCTGCGACTAGCGGCGTTGCTAAGCCGACGATTACGAGAATATCTAGATATCAAATAAAAGAAAATAAGATGATTAAATGTGCGTCAAGAATTGTGACCTTGAAAATTATATCTATTAATAAAATAATGCCTCTTTTGCCATTCATCTACATGGTGCACACGGCGTTGAATAAAGTTTAAGAGTTTTTGTTTAATTTGCATTGATGATGCCCTACAGAGTAAAAATCATTGAGGTTTTCTTTCTGTCGGCGCATCGTATAACGTTGATTCAAATATGTTTGAATAACGTCAATTTGTTCTTGACACTTTCAATGGATATCCTACACCGAAAAGTAATGAACCTGCGTTGGCTATTGCCTTTTTACCTTCCAGCCTCCGACACGCTAATTATAAATAAATTCTTACTTTGAAACTCTTCGCATGGATTGAGGCTCAGTCGATGCCTTCTTCGCTCCTGTCGACCGATCGGGTTGGTTCACTGGTCCGTTCTGCGACGCATGGGATGTTGGCTTACTGTTGACCGACGATAGTACTTTGTCCAAGTCTGGCCACCTTCAACAAAAAAAAAAAAAAAAAACAGCATTCAATCTTTTTTACAGCATTGCTCACATATGTTGCTCAACAGTTGCATTCAATTTTCTGAATAATCTATTGAGCGAGTGCGCAAGTCTTCCATACCTTCGATTTTGATCGCAGACCTCGAAAAGTTCTAATCGAGTCACTGCGTCCTGGGAACATCTTATTCAAGCTTGTACAATTCATTGTATTTTTACAGTTTCATGCAGAATAATTACACATCATTTGGTCACCTGATTAATTTAGGATGTCGTTCTTGTTGTACCCACTGCCGGATGCGAACGCTCCTTCGACTGTCAGCGGACCGTTGTTGTAAGGGCGATTGCAACGGCGGCGATCTTTGGGCCAGCGAATTTTTACTCTCGTTATCGTTGAGGTCTGGATGCTCCCCCCAAGAATAGGGTGTGGAAATACCGTGACACAGTTTGGGATGACTGAAATTTAAAACAATTTCTGATGAATGTTCTACTAAACGCGAATGTAGTTTCAGTTAAATATAAGTTAATGTTACCACAACGTCATGAGCTGTCGGTCGCTTTGCAAATTCACACTTATTTACACCTTGCAAAAGTTATGAAAATCAAATTGATCCTGGAATAAAATGAATTATTTAACCTGTCAGTTTTAATCATTATCAATGCATTAAAATCAACAGTCCTTCCGAGATATGAAAACAGTCAACTTTCTGGGAAAACTTAATTGTGTGACAATTTAAATGACTCCCACTCACCTATCACGAGGCTCATTGTTCCCAAAAGATATGTCGCTTCTACTTCTGGGAACACGAAGACCATATGAAGGTGCATCCGTTTTCCGTTCAACATCGCAGTCCACGTAACCGTCAACTTTCTGGGGATCCCGTGTCGTCTCCACAGTTTGAAACACATTTGTCATCGTTGCTTTCTTATCTTCAATGAACTGACGCGCAAATGAGGAACTCGAGATGCCCTGCCAGAGGAGATAGTCGAAGTCTACTCTCAGATCGTTTCAAATGATCTCCGATTTCTGGGTAATTTGTTTTCGTAGGACCTGGATCTTGCGCGCCCTGAGCGAGAGCTTTCCATTCCATGTGATGAGCGGAATATAAAAGATTAGGATGCCTTAATATACCAACTAAGTATTACTGAGATCTTAAATACATATTCTTTTTCCATTCCGCTATAGAAAGTTGAACTTACACTCATTAATATCACGGATAAATTTAAATCTAACGATTTATGCACACTAATTAGACTAAATAGTTTCCTTGGCGGTAAAATCTTTCAAAAGGATAAACAAATGGAGCGAGGTAAAATGCAGTTATCTTACGTGCAGAAGGTAAGGAAAATACCCTTAGGAGGCAGCGTGTCGAGCTTTAGGTTTGTGATCTAACTGAGGAGCCCGTGGCTGCCAGCTCACTCATTCCCACCGATGTTTGGTAAACTAGAACCTCAGGGCGGTGTCTTGCGACTAAGCTTATTCTTCCCGTTGTAAATAAGGTGATCGATTTAAAGTCGAGCCGCACCTCTACTGACCCTATATTCTGACTTCCGTCGTCATATGCATAAAAAATATTGATATACCTACATATAGAAATAAGAATTTAATGAATGTTAGTTAAGTAATTCAATGTAAACTCCATAAATCCATGAACAACGCTCGTATAAGGCGTCGAAGAGGCTATTTGTGTCCGTACGCCAAGCAAGCGGTTGTTTACTGCACCTAGCCTCGCCCTGACTCTCGCCCTCGCCAACCGCTTGTTGCACTGCCCACCTGTGATGTAGAATGCGAATCTTCTATCAAATTTCCATCATTTTGAAAGTTTAAAAGTTAGCGAATTTAATATTAAACTTGAAGCTTACTGGAATCTGAGCATTAAAATCTATATTTGAATAGTTGGTGTCCGCAAAATCATCAGATTCACTTACATTGAACTTAAATAAAAATGCAACACCTTGCTTTGGGAACGCAGCCGCGCACCACCAATTTTGTGCACCAATAAGCCCCGAATCGAACGCCTTGGATGATTGGATCTCTACGGACATCCACCAATCAGCCGTGAATGGAACCTGCTATCCGTGGCCGACCCTTGACATCACTCTGCATTGAATATTTTGAGCTCTAGGGAACGCAGTCGTGCACCAACGAATTTGTGCACCAATCAGCCCTGAAAGGAACTCCTAGCATACATATATCCGGATGACCACCAATCAGCCGCGGATCAAGTCATCCGTCAGTAACCAGCCCATGACATCATCTTGTTTTAAATATTAGGAGCTTTACGCCACCATATTCTGAAGCTAATAGCCCAGAGAGTAATGGTTGTCCACCACTGAACGTTGCATCGAATCATCACTTCATACCCTGACTTTAGCTCGAACTGTAACTGGCGGACAACGGACTGCGACCAACCAGCCCAGCTCGCCAGGGGAGCGCAGCCGTGCACCACAAATTTTGTGCACCAATAAGCCCTGAATCGAACGCCTTGGATCTCTCCGAACATCCACCAATCAGCCGTGAACCATTGTGCTTTGTCCTCCTCCGGCCTTGCATAGAACCTGCCGTGCACCACCAGGCCGCGGATCCAATATGACTTTCGGACACATCGTTAAATTACGTAATTTTACGTTCACCGCATCTGAGGTTAGGTTTCAGATAGCATAGTTCTGTTCGAAAATTTATCGTCCTTCGACGAGTGGCCGTTCGACCGAGGGCTGGTTCAAGCCACGGCCTAGATATGATTGTCCAGAAGTGTTGAAGGCTACGTTCCGGAAGGCAGGAATCATGATGGTCCATTACATCTACGGCAGTGGTGGTCTTAGGCAAGCGACCCCTCGACAGTGGAACTGCATGAATCCTGCTGCCGTGCATCACCAGACGGTCACTTTTAGCTCGCAACATCCGGGGTTAGGTTTCAGAAAGCATAGTTCTGTTCCAAAATCTATCGTCCGCTGACGAGTGACTTCCGCGGCTTCGCTAAATTGCGTGAAGCCTCTTTCACACACGGCGTGAAATGCCGCAAGCGTAAAAAAACACGCAACTGTATTTACCGCACAATCATTCACATCAGGTGGCTTGTTACCTATTAATCTATCAGTATTGCAATGCTGTTCTCCGAAAGTGGTGATCAGTCTTTGTGAGCTCTATATAAGTGGCTGCTCTAAGAAAAGAAAAGAAGGCTCTCATGTTGTCTTACTGCATGAAACACAGCAAAGGAGGAAAGAAAGGCGGTGCTGGATTCACCATATAGTACATTTAAGACCCCAAGAAGTAGAATTTCTCACACTATTTGAAAAATTAAGAGGATATAAAGTCAAATTCTTTAATTATTTCCGTATGTCAGCAGAAGTTTCGACGAATTGTTGTCTGTACCAGACTACCCGCTGTCTGTACCAGACTAGGATGTGCGCCAAAAACCGCTGCGTCAAAAGCCGCACAGTGTGAAAGATTACATTCAATACCATTGCAAGCTAAACTGTTGCGGCAAATGCCGCAGCAATTTTGGGAGAACACGCGCAGGCAAAATGCGTCAAATTTGACTGTGCGTTAAAAGCCGTCGTGTGTGAATAGCAGTGAAGATTACGTATGTCCGCTGAGGTTCGACGTGAAATACCGTTGCGTGTTTTTTGACGCATACGGCATTTCACGTCCTGTGTGAAAGGAGCTTAAATTTTAGCTCACAACATCTGGGGTTGGGTTTCAGATAGCATAGTTCTGTTCCAAAATTTACCGTCCCACGACGCGCGGCCGTTCGACTGTGGACTGATTTGACACCTGGGACAGATAAGGCCGGCTCCGGCGCGCTCCGTCCACGCGGTGTAATTTTTTTTCGCGTATTGGCAGACGATGCTGGGCCATTCTACGTCAGGCTACTCTCCTGTGGGCTGATTGATCTAATTCAATGGATGTGATAAAGCGGCGTAAAGCTCCTACCATTTTAAGCAAGATGATGCCATGGGCTGGTTACTGACTTATGGCTTAATCCGAGCTGATTGGTGGCCTTACGGAAATATGCTAGGCGTTCCTTTCAGGGCTAATTGGTACACAAATTTGGTGGTTCACGGATGCGTACCCGTGCATCCCTGCTGCCCGCGGTCGATCTTTCTCCATAGCCGCCGTGTCTCGCTGATATAGATGTCTCACGGTCAGTCTGGCCGTAGATTGTTTCATAATGATCGTACTTCTGAATAGTGGTGAAGTCTTCCTCGCCGATGATGTTACTCCAAGCTCATTGCCGTTGTTTTACTGTGGGTTGGACTTGGCCTCACCTGAGTTCTATGTAATGTGATGGGGAGATTCGTAATGGAACAAGTATTGGATAACCTGAGAGTCGTAACTTGATGCATCAAAATCAGCATATTTCCAAACGTGACCCATTTGCTAGTAGTAATTGACAACGGCTAGCAACATTGATGAATGTGGATTGATCGGTACACATAATTTTTTTATGATATCAGGAAGTCATCGATATCATACAACTACAAGTTTATCAGGAAGTCATGTTTATCTACTACTGCATGTTGAGTGAACCGTCAATATCATTTGCGAGAACTGCATCAATGGGTGCAGAAAGTCTTGACTATGAGGAAGCGGACTTCGGACTGTTTTTGTCAATGGGCGGGGCGCATGCCGGAGGCAAGCCTTGACAAAATTCATACTTGGTTCATATTCCTGTCCATACGTAAAAACGCTAGAGCCTAGAGTGCATAACGGCCTATGAAGTTAAGTGCTCAAAGCCGAAGCGCCGGATGTCCACAGCCACAAAATAAGCTTGCCAAAGGTTAACTTGGCCATACTACATCTGGCCAAACCTCTTCAGACCTAACCTAAACAAGCTGCAACCTTTCTCCACCCAAAACCAACCTGAGCGGACCTAACCTAACCTCATTGGTTGCAAGAAGTTAGAAAGGCGGTCCAAGTGTACTGGTAGAGCCAGTCATTGGCTGCAAGAAGGTTGTTAGCCGGGACAGCGCGAATAGGTTAGGCCGGAGTAGGTACAGCCGGATGTAGAACTGCCTGCTTATGAGCGAGAATGCTTAATTAAGTATTGGTTGAAGACCTACGGCGCTATTATCTTTCGGCAGTGTGTCGCTTGTCTGGATTACGGAGTTCAAGCGTAGTCTGGGGCTTCTAGTTCTGAGGCTGAGTAAAGTTAACGCATGGTGAGGCTAGGCGTTGGCTCCAGGGCTTATTTAAGAGTAAAGTTTGCGGCGAACGGCTGCGCCCCAATAGGGCAATGCTAAGACGGAAAGCGGCATTTCATCATGTTTGTGCCTAGGGGACTGAGGAAAAACGTTCACATGTTCGCCGATGACACGATATTGTTTGCCAAAACCAATAGTTCTATGGGAATTCCCCAACAATGGTAAAAAAACATGGCACCTAAAACATTGTTTCAAATCAACAGCACTGTTGCATCACGGTCATTAATAATAATATAATATAGCGGTTTCAGCGTTTATTAGGCCGGAGGCCTGTCGCCGATTCTTAACATTGCAGAACATCCACAGCTTGTTGCGGGCTTGAACTCGCAACTCACTGCTTCAATTCTGCTTTGCTCAACCGCCCGGCCTCCTTGCCGATTCTCACCAGAAACTGGCGCACAGAGCTGGGGGATCGAACCCGCACCTCTCTGCGCTAATCTTGGTATTCAACTTTAACCATTGGGCCACCCCATGGTTTTCTCTGCAAAATTACCTTCCGATTATGCCTTCAATAATATTGATGTATTTTTTTCTCAGTATCTATTCGTCGATTTTTCGTTTGTTCATCATCCGCATTTGAGTATTTAGTGCGATATTTTACGGAGCCAATTATGAAAAAGTCTACCATGAATGTCGAACGTGGCGCGGAAGAATATCAGTTTTCTCTCCACGTGTCGAAGATTTTGTATTTATTTTCTTTTTTTATTTAAGACATCCATACAAATATTATCTTCAATTACTTTCATTTATAACATAATCCTAATTAGGTTTTTCTAATGCATGTTGTTGAATTTTCTTGAAAAAACTTTTGGAATTATTTTGATGAATAAATGATTATATATGAAATTATTCTAAAATAACTTTTTCAAGAATAATAAAAAAGTCAAGAGGCACAATTATGAGCAGCTTTTATTATTTTTATCATCACCGTAATGATTTTTGAGTGGAGACTAGATGCTCATGCGCAATATTACGTTCCTGGATCAAGCCATATTACAACTCCAGAGCCAGACAACACAGATGTTGTGGCCTGTTAACAGTTGGAATCGGTGAGAGTTGGATGTGAAAGCTATTAGCCTTCGAAATGCCTCCGCAGCATCGAATGAAAGCCGCTAACGAAAAAGCGGCGAAAAACATCACGAACAGAGGAAACGTTGTCACTAGCTCGGTAAGTTTCAAAAAGTTCATGTTATTCATAATCGTTCGAATACTAGTGTAAAGCCCTGTCATGTGATAACGTTGATTCAGTGAAGGGCATTTACGTGTGAACATGAAATCTTGCTTTTCAATGGTCAATCGTGTCATTGTGGCTTAAGGGCAGGCCATGCAGACTAATGATGCAGTTCAATGCCAAATCATCAAATGCCAACTAACGTTAAGATAAGTTATTGAGTTGGTCTCATTTTCACTTAGTTAGCTTACTTAGCTACCTTAATTTACATACTGAATTTTTAATTTCTGTCCTTTTGCACTATGAAAAATTGAAAATTAGGCTAATGATCTGTTGGTCAGTTAGTGAACATGAATCACAAGTTAAAAAATCATTCTTGTCCAAGAATCTGGTAGGCTAATCCCCAATAATTCCTGTCAATAAATAAGCTAGGCCTAGAAGTTAGTGGAGTAAATAAATAATCACAGTATTCCTAATTCTGTGGTTAATGATGAAATGATAATGTTTGAGTTTGACTTTTGAGTCAATGATGCATCAAATCAGCATCATTGCTTGTAAAATTGCTATGCAATATTAAAAATTTTTTTGAATTAATTTCTTACTTACAGTTTCTGCCTTCTGCTCTAATTTGAGAGCTATTGTTTTTTTCTTTGCCCAAGCTTAGGAAAATTTTTTAGATCAATATCAGCAATTTTGTAATCACTACTGATCATGCATAGCGACAAACCACAGATTTTTTAGAGTGAGTTCATTTTTAATTTCCCCATTTACTCAGTATTTGGACCAATTTACAAATGTATGATAATGCTGGTATCCATGATACTTTACTGGTCTGCCTATAGAACTTGAAAATTAACTTGTTGGAGAATCTAAAAAATTCTGCATTGCCACTAGCCCACCCACTGTGCAGAGAGTGAACGAAGATTTAAAGACCTACGGCGACGCATTATCGGCCAAATTTTTGCCTTCAGAAGATCTTGCCGACACATTTAGATTGAAATTCTTGCATTTAATATATTTCTCAGTCTGCAGCCAACTATTTAGAAAAAAAGTAAGGTTTCCGGTACGGTACGTTGGATGGATTACGATGCAGCGAAGCTTGTCCGGAAATCAGTTGTGATGAGTTCCCGCAAAAAAAGTAAACAACGTTTTTTTTATTGCGTAGTTTCGGTCACATTAGAGCGGTCAGACTGCTTTATTACATGTTCAGTTGACACTTGCTGTACAATCGGACTGTTTTTAGGGTAAAATTAGTTATTTGGATTTTAGATCAAAATGCTATCTAAAAAAAGGAACTTGGCTGACTTAACCCAACCTAAGAGCTTTTTGTAAAATTTCGATGAACAATCCGACCCTTTATATAAAGGTGAGTGGGTAACTTAAGTTACGTAACCCCCATGTTAGTAAATAAAGGTGAGTGGGTAACGTAAGTTACGTAACCACCATGTTAGTAAATAAAGGTGAGTGGGTAACGTAAGTTACGTAACCCCCATGTTAGTAAGTCGCGAAAAAAATCGGTTTTCCGATGCCGACCGCCAAAAATGGATTTCAGATTCGTAATCTACACCCCAAAAACATATAATTAAAAAAAAAACACCCTTTTTTTTGGATGTAGTTAATCTGCAATAATACCGATTTATTAGGGTTGTAGTTCCTAAATTCCCCATAGTCAGTTTTAAATATGCAGTGAAAATATTGCTGCTAAATAAATCAGTTTAAAAGTAATTAGAGAGATATGCCTATCACAAAATTGATACAAAATAACTTTTGGAATTTTTATTAGTTGATTTGCAGAATATGTACCATAGTCTTGATTACAGTCTTCGAATTTTTCTCGTATGTGAATATGCTTTGCTATTGTGTCGTTTACTGGCATATAAAGATAGAAAATTCTTCATTCAATTTTAAATAAATCATTTATAATATGGTTTTTCTTAGTCATTAACAATCATACAATAACACCAATAGTTGTTAGAAAGACTTTACACACTGCACCAAGCAAAGAAGCATTAGCCCTGATTCCTTCCATTTATGAGCCCTAAAAAATCACGCAATGCTGAGCATGGCCCATCACCCATCAATCTATTACCCTGCTGCATTAAAGTTAAAATAAATTGAAAATTAGATTTGTTGGAAATTTTACAGCAACTCTAAAATTAGGCAATTAAAAAATCTGTAAAAGTCTGTTTTTGCTCCACTGATGAGCCCGTTTATTTGCACTTGACAATCCACAACTAATTATTCTGCCTATAGCTACAACTAAGCAATTCAAGTTTACAACTCTCATCCATTTTAAGAATGGCAATACTGAGCCTATAAATTTTAAAAACTATCAGCATATTTTACTGGAACTGCAAGATAGTTACTGTGAATATTTTGAACTTTCCACTTGCAATTGATGGTTTGTCAGTTTAGATGTTTTTCTTGCTGAAAGCATAATATGTCATATTTTGTCATCTCTACATGTTAAATGGGCGCATGATTCTGTTATAGGTAATATTCATATTTGTTTACGTGAAAACTATAAGGGTTTCTTTTTCATTTCAGAGGCAAGGCAGTGATAAATATCCTGTTGGTCCCTGGCTGCTGGGTCTCTTTGTCTTCGTTGTTTGTGGTTCAGGTAAGTTACTACAAAGTGCACTTATGCTCTGCTTTATTGTTGGTTCTTTTATCTTGAACAGAATTTTATATCCAATTTCTGACTGGTTTGGTTTTTTTCAATCTCCTCAAAAAGTTGATGGAAAATATAAAATACTACAAGCATTGATTTCTGACCATTTTACATCTTCATATGAGCTAACAAATTGGAAAACTTGCAAACCATGATCATGTAAAACTTCCTACATTTGAGTTGTTTATATGCATATACACGTCTTGAATTGTGAATCATTTTTAAACCAAACGACTGAAGAGGTTTTTGTTACAAATGCATGCATCTCCATTGGACATGTTGCTCTTGATTTAATTTATCAGTACTATCAACCTCAAATGAAGCCATTAGTATGACTCTTCATTTATTAATCTAACTTTCCACAAATTTCACTGATCTGTCTTCATATTTTGCAGCTGTGTTCCAGATCATCCAGTCCATTCGTATGGCTTGATCAGGCATCTTGACCGTGTCATCACCTTGGCTCCTCTTTGGTACAACTTTTGAAAATTCATCACTCGGGCTCCGCATTCTAATATTGACCAGTTGCTACAGTATTCTGGAATAAACTTTGGTTGTTTGCGCCTTCTGATAGTCGACTCATATTGATTTTGGAGTTTGCTTTCCCATTATGAATTTATTTTTGTTGTTTTGACATTTTTGTACTGGCTGCACAAAAATTTGGATTCAATCAGTTTTGGTGTTCATTTCTTAAAGTAAAGTGTGTGTGTGTGGCTGTGTGCTGCACTGAGGATCTGCTATATCTGGCCATTTTCTACTTTTTTAATGCGTTCAGCTTTTATATTGCATAATTATGTTCTAGAATAATTTTGTTGGGTTTGGTAGAAGTTTGTTTCCAAACCCAATGATGTTTACCCCGAGTGAAACAAATATATTTATACGTAATTATTGCCTTGCTCTTGTTTAATATGATCGTCTATTAAACAATTCATGGGCCATCTGATTCTTTCTGTTCCTTTACATTTAATTCAGCTTTCGTGTGCGTGTACATCATTGGTCACGAAATTTTACAGCCTGTAGGTTACTTTTGTCGTAATCCATGCGGGTCATAACACAGCCGAATGTGAGCAGAGGGCTGTTATTATTGGTTTCAAGAATTGAACAAGTACGGTTCTTGCAACGAAAACAACAGATCAGTAAAAAGAAAACGGCATTTCATTTTAGTTGACCTCTCAATGGTCCCGAAGTGAGATTTCTTTTGAAAAAATAATATGTACAGCGAAGTGCCCTGCTGTCGTCGCCAGAAAACCGCGTGACTATCACTGACGAGTTTCAACTCAATTATTTCAAACTTGTACAGCTGTTCGTACCGATGCACCAGGCTTAATTTAGAGAACTTAAGGATGCAAATGAGGGAGCAGCTCGTTGGTTTTACAATTGTTTATTAATAAATCTAGCGCAATGTATCGCGTACAAAATGCAGAATGTATTAGACTCTCGAAGAATCTAGTTTTTTGTCATGCGCGAAAGGCGAAGAAAAGTTGCAAATTTATGAAAAATAATATAATTATGAATGAGGCAAGAGCTAGCAAACGCAGAACAGTATTAAATATTCAGCGAAACCAGCAGGTATGTCAAAACGCGCCGCAGCAATATTTGCGGGCACTATTCGCTACACGGTAACACTATGCTCATTACTCCAGATAAAAATCACATAACTTCGCGACGTTATGATCATCGACTAAAATATTTCATCACGTCAATAATTAAATTAATATATGACATCTTAGAACACAGAAGTGGTACCAAGTAAAGTTGCCAGCAAGCCTCAATGTAACTGGAAGCTTTTAGTTGAAGAGCGTACAGCGTATGTTTGATTACAAATGAAGCAAATATTCATCAAGTTATACAAGACGCTGGCCAAGGCTCGGCAGCTGACGGTCCATCAGAACAGACTCGTGTCGGTGCACGAGAATCGCACTGCGGAACTTTGGCTTAGGTTTAACCCCAAAAATGTCGAAGTTAAACGGATGCAAAAGCTTAGGATTGTGAAGTGTAGACATCAACAATGGAAGAGAAATTTAATCGATTCAACCTATAGTATTACACAAATAAACCTTAACTAAAACCAATAAAATAAGATTCGTGCAACGAGAAATTATACCTCTGATCAAGTGAAAAAAGACGAAAGTCACATATTGTGTGTTGATTGCATAAGTTTTGACAGATCGAATGCAAAGCTTAACAGTTATCTTAGAGAGCTACGAAGACGAAAGACGTAATGGATCACGTATCTTAGATCTAAATATACGTATGCTGCATAACTATTCACCAGTCATTTTTAGTGAAGAGATTTAAGGGAAGGAATTATTTCAGGCAGAATACGAGGGTGCATGTCGGTTGTGATATGTGAACATAATTGGCGAAAGAGACGCAAATGACATAGAACAATTGCGAGAAATTTTACTAAACTATCAACTGGGAGAAGAAACGTGTTGCATATTCAAGGCGAGTTCAATAGAATAAGCTACGTAGGTTTACGAGAAAAAGAAGGCAAGAAGACTTAGGTGTGTTTGCAGTTCCAGAATTGAAATTTTCACAGGAATAGTAAGTTCAAGGATGAACATCAAAGCCGTAATATTTTGATTCATTGCTCAACTAACGATTTTCACTAATGAAATGGAGTCGCTCCAAAATTTTTCATCTAATTGACCCTCTTTCTTTCAACTGGAACATTCACTGGAGAATGAATCAGAGATCTGGATCAACATCAAGCTAAATTTTATGCACAAAACTCATCAAAGGCTTCATTTTCCTTTTCAGTTGCAGCAGAAGCACCAAATACAGTTAAGACTGTGACTCGCACAGCATAATTGAGATGACCGTATCACAGAAAGGACAGCATCGTTATGTTGCGCGTTCACTCAGCGGGGACACATTAAGGACAGAGAAGGACATCAAGGTTAACCATTACAACGGGACACATTAAGGACAGAGAAGGGCAGCTTAGAGTAGTAATATTGCATAGACTTAATGTTGTGATGTAACACAGTAGAAATATTGTCATGAGATTATTTGATCATTAAATATGGGTATTTACCCAGTATTGTAGCACGTGCACTGAACAGAAGAGAAACTAAATACACAATATAATAGAGGAATGAGATTGCAAGAACAATGAATGTCATTGTAATGAGACATCTTCATCATAACAATACCTGATGAAATTGGCAGAGCAACAGAATTACAAGCTAAATCATCGGGCATCACGAGATTAATTTTTGGACAACGCCGGTTCATCAAAACGAGCTGTAGAACTCAAGTAAACGCTACACGGTAAACCTATCAACACAGAAACATTGCAATGGGAAAAGAACTAACGCTCATTATCAACGTTAAATGACAAATTCCATGTTTGTAAAAGACGTACATAAAGCATTGCAATGACGAGCCTTAAATTAATGTGGTGGAAATGAGCCAATTGTTAGATAATCCTAAAATTTACATGGATATGAAAATATAAATTCAAAATTTAATGAATACTGTAAAGGAAAAATACTCAGTTGATAAATACTTAAATGCAATATCACAGGAAGAGCTTATTCACGTAAGAGGAATGCTGCTAATGATCAGGCACAATATATATGAGGAAAGATAGCTTGAATATTGTCTAGTTGCTATGCTTTAGGTGTGTTTAAGATCTGTTATTGACGCTTAGCACGGCAATAAATGCATGCAAATCGAATGTAAAGTTACGTCATTTGTACTTGGAGAATAATCAACAAGGGATAACACATAAAGCTGCACAATAAAGTTACTTGAGACACGTATGATTGAGCAGCTAAGGATGAAACAAGCAAAGAAATGAATGCCTGCCTACCTTGATCAATTCACACAGTAACTATCGATAACATGAAGCAATCTTAAAATTTAGCAAGAATAGTTTTACATTATCAATACAAAATTACGATTCAGTTTAAAGGCACTTCGAAGCGATGCTGAACGATGGGCCATCATCCTATCAAAAGGCACAGGTTCAAGTTTTGTTGGTCGATCATTAGGCAAAAGATGGAATATGAAGCTCATTTGAAACCGTTGTATTTCAAGTCCGAATATTTAACAAGAAAAAAAATGTAGACCAGAATGATCGTGTCCTTGACAGCGGTAATAACACAAAAATATGGAGCTTCAAACTGAGAAACCATGGGTTTAGCACTGAACATAGTTTCAGTTACACTTTAAATTATTTATTTTCCAACATCACTGAACATTGGCACAAGATACATTCAAGCTGAGACACATACAAGACCTTACACCCTTAACGCTATGATCAGATCACTAAATGAGATTCATTAATAAAGGTAGCTGTGCTAAAATTCTTTAAGAATCTGCGTTTCTTACATTAAAATAAAATTCAACAACAAATGGAGAATGATTCAAGTTACTTGAAATTACAATAAACTGGTAGAGACTAAACAGATTGTTCAGCAGATGTTCGGGCATTCGTTTTGGCCCGGTGTGGAAGAGTGCCATTCTGTGGGAGCTCAATATGTTCATCATCTTGTTGTGTAGAGGATTTATTGAGCGTGTTAGTGTCATCAGATTGAGAGCACTCGCTATTTTCAGGTTGCCGCGCAGCATAGCCCAATTTATGTAGGACAGCCACCCGCAGTTCAGGAAAATCAGAAGTGCTTTCAAGAAGAGTCAAAAGAATGTTAAGAACATTCTTAACTAGAAATATAGACACAGGCTCACGCATCATGACCCAGAGGTAAATGCGGACACACATGTATGGTATGTTGACGAGAAAGAGATGCAGCATAGTGTAAATAAATGCAAGTATTGTACTGGATCTAACACGGCCATAGTCATTTTGGCTTAGTTTGTACAGGCAGATATTGGGAAGGAGGAGTGTAATGCAACCAAAAGATATTATAGTGTTTTCAAAAGCAAATGAGAAAACCATTTTAGTCTCTGACACAAACAATAAAGATAGGAATGTGATGGCATCAAAGATTTCAAAAGTGTAATTTTTGACCAAGTTTGCAATATACAAGGCCCGCATTGAGTGCCTCGCAGCATCATAATGGCCTTCCACAAACACAAAGAAAACCAAAGCAGTCAAGGCAATGGCCATCTTCATCACTTGAGGTGTAAGGAAAGACTCTTCACTAAGCTGATTGACTATTTCAAACTTGAAAATCATAGCAATTTTCATGATGAGGAAGAAGGAGTAGAACATCCAAGAAATGTAGCCTAGTGGATGATAACCCAGAATGTACTGGTATCTCTTGAAAATGGATTGCTGCTTTGCAGATTCAGAATGCTTGGCATACGATTTTCTTTTGACTAACTGTTCATCAGACTTCTTCCAGTGGCTGTAACTACGTAGCATTGTGAGAGCAAATATCATAACCACAAGGAAGTCTGCAAGGAACCAGAAGTATGGGCGGGTGTCATTAGGTGCAGCAGTGATGAAGAACAGGTTCAGGATTGCACCTTGAGTGGCGGAAGCCAAGATGAGCACCAGCGTCAAGAGCGTGTGAAAGACAAGCTTCCGGGTCAAGATGAATGGACACACACCATTTACTGCCATTATGTACCTGGAAAATCAGAGTTAATTAACATACAGAATAAGTAAGTTAAACAGGTAACCACATTAAATGCTTATTTTACTAAAAAGGTAAAAAACTATAAAAAAAACTTCTAATTCAGAGGAGTGTTTTCAAATTCCTAGCATTCTAAAGCTAATCCCCAGTTAGGTTCAAGCCCTGAGCATTTTTAGTTGGTCATTGTCTTCAAGACAATTAAGATATCATTATACTTCTGGAAATTATGTAACTGCTCATTTCATTTATATTCATAAATTTGAAAGTTTTCAAATCTATTTTCAAATTTTCATTGTTTGAATATTCATAATACCTACACCATCACTACTTTGCCATACTTAATTAATGAGCCTTTGCCACTAACAATTATAATTCAGTAGCATACTTATTGCAACAGTGATGATACGGTAGGTATGCATTTTGCACCGCAGAAACGGAGGTTTGCAAGGACTTCTACAAGAAAAATTCCAGCTAAAATCTTTTCATTTTCAGCATCAAAGAAAATGATCATTGCTAAAATAATACCCAACTAGAAGAATCTATTATGGATGGATATAAGTAGAATTGAAGTAAAATATTTTTCCCTAACAGAACATATTTAATCTCAGTGCAAATTTAGCAATGGCTTCCTATTTAGAAACAGCAAGTTCTATGGTCACATGCATGGTTGCATTTTTCAGCAGAACTACTATTTCAATACTTTCACTGCTTATTTAGGAAGAAATGATAACCTATAAGTTTTTAAACAAAACAATTTTAATCTACTAGTTTGATGCAACTTTGCTCAGGAATGGATCTTGTTAAAGTAGGCACAATGTAGGGCAGGAATGCACAGTATAAGGCAGCTTCTGGAAGGCCTTGTATGCAACAAGGCTTCTAATAATGTGGCAGTTTGAGAATTTGTTCAAAGGTAGGAAAATCCCAATCATGGAGCACGCTGTGTAGTATCTAGTATGGGTCTTACATGCAATTTTTCTAGCTCTGAGGAACTAGCACCTGAATGAATTAAGCGAATTTAAAGAGAGTTAACTAATTACATGGTTAGGTATTTAACCCAAATCTGTATATCTGTCAGGGAAGTAAATTTCAAAATGAGGCCTGGAAAGGCATGAAAATTCATAGTGGCAAAGCAGCGAGTGTTTTAGACTCTTCCTTAGGCTCATGTTTGAGCCCGATAAGTAGACCAGCAAAGTATGATGGATACCAGCATTATCATTCATGAGACATTGGTGTAAATCTCAAGTACACAAGGAAACTAAGAATGAAGTAATTATAAAAAATCTGTTTTGCCAATACGCGTGGAATCATCGTGTAATTCTATATTTAATATAAGAGAACATGGTATTTTGAGATTTTTGACCAATCAATGCTCCTTTACAGACTGGTACACAGCACACTAGCCCACTTCTCACATGACACAAATGCGTACTGAATGAACACAAGACAGCATTGGCCAACAACAACATGTCAACTGACAACAAATGTGAAATTTTTTAATATAAAAGTGCTTTTTGAAGTTGGTCATTAAATGCCTAATAAATAATCAGAAATTTATGTATCCACATAGATTTCAATGCTGTTAACATAGAGAAACATAAATACCATCAAACAGGGTAAGAAGGGACAGATTTGAGCATTTTTTGTTAATAACTTCTTACCATGAAACATTTCATAAACAAGTTTAGGCTCAGTTTATAGCTCTTTGCGAGGGCTATCCAGTGGCATCTTCAAAAAAATTCCATATGCTATTCCTAAGGTGCCAGACACAAAATAAAACCGTCCCAATTTACCCCTCAAAGCGGGGTAATCCGGGACACTGGTAATAAAAGTTAATTTTAAAACGTTTGAAGGGTAGTTTTTTTATATTATTCGAACTTCGAAGTAGTTCCCTCCAATATTATTTAGCAAATTAATGCTACTTTTTACCATCTGTGCACGCATGAGTTTGTCAAATTACAACAAAAAGGAGATAATTAACAACTGAATTATGTATTGACGTTATCATTTTTCGTGCGTTGTCATAATTTTTTTATTGTTTGGTTTCATTCAGCTCGTTGAAAGTTAATTTTTAGCCCCTTACAGATGAGAAGCCAATTAAAAACAAAGCTATTTATTGACATCTAAATAAGTATTGAGAAGTAGTCATTAATTAATTACTATCATTATATAAAAAATCTAAGGAGATTATTTAAAAATGTAATGGAACAATGTAATTCTCACATGAAAAATTGTTTTCAATTTTTTTTAAGAGAACTCGATCGTCGAGTTGCATCCTCTTATTTGTTTTAAGTGGTGTCAATAATCTTCTACCATTGAAGTGTCATTAGAGTGGCTTTTTCTATTTTTATAATTTGAAATGTGCCATAGGCAATGTTTAAATAATTTCTTATGAATTTTAATAATAGACATCGGCTTTTCTTCAAGTATTTTTTAATTTTACTGAGTATTTCAGTTTAAAACTTGTATAAACAATCGTGAAGTGCAATACAGCTCGCCATTGTACTTGTCAACAAAACATTTACAAATTAAAAGCAAAAAGCGGTCAATTTTACGAAGAAATGCGTGTAACTGAGGTCATAATTATTATTAGCAAAAGTTTTTCTGTGCATACCAGTGTCTGTTTAAGGAAGAATGTTGCTTTTATTAATTTATAAATGATCTTGAAGATTAGAGTCATTTTGCTTTCCATGAGTAAGTTAAGACAGTGTTATTGCTCTAAGACTATTTTGCATTGATATACCGCTTACACGAACACTGCTGTGAGCGCAATCTTCATTGCGCAGCTGGCAGCTGCACTGCTGCAGGCAGTGTTATCTAGACTGTCAGCGTGGGAGGTTGTCTGACGGAGGCTGCGAGCCGCTCCTCTAATTTAAGTTCGGCGTTCACAAAACTCAAATTACCAAGGTAATTTAAAATTGATATGTAATTGCACTGTGAGGGAGAGTCTAAAAAACTCTCTGCTTTGCTACTATGGGGAGTGGGATGCGAGAAAGAAGCTAGGTATTTAATTCAGTGGCGCGTTAGCCCACGTGATATGTAGTTCTGCTTGTCTGTACTCTGAATTGCGTGTTTAGTGTGCATGATGGAAAACTCTGCTTTGCAGCGTAGTTATAATTACTTAATGATGTTTAGTTCATTGTGATCAACTCAAGAGACAAATTTTTAACTAACTAACACTTTTTATAAGTCTAATTTTAATTGTTGAGTGAAAGGTGCAGGCATACTACAACTTCCAGTTTCAAGTGATTAGGTACTTTATAGAAACTGAGCAAGTTAGCGTACGCCATACCCAGGATGGTGCTTTTTCCGCGGATTAATCCGGCGTAAACAAGGCTCTGAGAACTTGCCCCGGCGTACGCCTTGGCATACATCAGGAATAATTTGTGTGCTTGTGGTACACCCCTGGCATGCATCAGGAAAAATTTGTGCACTTGGCGCAGACACCTGACCGCCATCGCGGGACCGGGCTGCGTACGTGTTTTAAGCCTTTAAGAAGTTCATTGTTTGCCTCAAATAACGATGTTAGGAATGGGTACTACCCATTCCCCAATGGGTAGTACTTTTTCTATCCAATGGGTAGAGAAAGTGGTCTTGGTGGATCAAAATAATATATGAACCTTTGAAATCAGAATTCCATCCTGCGCAGGTCTAAGAAGTGGTGGTGGGCCGGTGGCCATTGTTTGCATGGGATGGAGTCTCAATGCCTAAGTTGTGAATGCACGGTTTCAATACCAGAAGAAAGAAGCAAAGATAAGTCTGTTAAACTTTACAAGAAAATTGGTAATATCTGTACTGAAATCTCATGGAATTGGAATGAAACAAACAGGGCCTCAATCACACCTTTCTCCATCAATCCTAGATGAAATGAGATACCTACAACAATCAGCAACATTGGACAGGGTGATCACTGATCAGAAGCACTGCAGAGCAGCAGATGCAGACAGTAACATCAGTAAGGAATTAAGGATAATGCACTCAAGATGACATGAGGCTGACTCATCACATTTACAATTTGTAAAAATGTGTAACCTTCCAGTTCATCCCTAATGCATGGAAGCATTTCATACTAAAGATCAGATTACAATGTAATTCCATTATGTTTTATGGAAAAGACTTATCATCAGGATTCAGGACACAGGCGTCAGCCTGGGCTTAGCCTTAAAAAGCCTTTAGGCTAGAAAATTACTATTACCTAGCTTATTATACTTATAGCAATTAGAAACGAAAAAAATTTACATACTGCAAAAATACTCACTAATTACGATATGTGGTAAACTAAGAAATCTTATTTTGGTAACTAAAACGAAGCAATGCACGTGGCGTAAGCAGTAGGTATGTAAACTTCGATGGAAAGACACAACAAACACTCCCCAGCACCTAGCACAACTCCTCTCAGGCAAATGACGTTATTGCGACTTGCGACCAATGTTGCCAACTTTTTTTAATCGCCGAGAATACCAGATGCAGATTGCCTGGCTCAAAATACCAGATATATACCAGAACTTTTATTTTCCAAAACAGATTATATACCTTCAAGTTTGAATACAATATTCGTCAAAAATAATGGTTAGAAGAAGAAAAGTAAATTTTTATCATTTTTACAGTGCATATTTCAAGCTTCATGAATTATGCGGAATGGGAGACTGGGTCTCCCATTACGTTTGAAACCTGCGAGATACGTCGTCCGATTTTTTGGGAGCGCTGGCAGGTTGCAACAGTTCCTCAATCAGGAAGAGGACCCTAAGAAACAGAAAACGGGGAAAAGGATGTTTGTTTTCGTAGCTTATGTTTGGAATTAAATTCAAGCCTTCCAAATAACTTTTAGTTCAGACTTGTCATCGCAACGTTTGTAGTTATTGTGACGTTTCATAATTAGTTATTCTAAATATTTTTTGCGAAATTCTTTCACGTCTAAGTTTCATATATGTTACGTGTTTACGTATTGAACAAATTAGAGTAGAACTACTATGCTGTCAATAGTAGGTCATGTAAGGCCAGCAAGCCTTTAATACTTCATTTGTGTACCAGATTCCACCAAATACAGTTCCCGAAACCTATAGTCTCGTCTCTGCCCATCTTCCTCCTTAGCTAGCTTGGACTTAGAAAGTCATACGACTAGCAAACGTTACAATATACATTGCATTATTGTGTAAAATCTGCATAAGGAAGTGGAGCCACAAATCACATGGAATAGTGTGTTTAACTGGAGATAAAATTTCACAAGAATGTGGTAATAGGCAACTCACCCTTTGCTTTTAAACCACCAAACAGAAACGCAGGAGCTCGCGTCGCAGAGCTAGGTTCGACAACATTTTCGTCAAAAGCTATTTAATCACTGATCATTGAGCAATGATGAACCATCACTCTCGTGCACTTGTTGCACTATACACTTTGTCAAATATTAACATTGTCATTGGAGTCATTTCATCAAGTGGTAATCTCGCGATTCCAAAAATGGCAGGAAAGATCTAGTCGCACCGTTGGAAAAGTAATCTATATGCATAATAGAAGACCACGCCCTGGTCGAATTTTCAGTTATTGCATGCAAGTTGCGCGGCAGCGTTGATTACGGATTGCAGTTTATCAAGTTCTGTGGCCGGAAGTCCATAGAGTGTGGCATTACCAAAGTTCAATCTGGTCAGAACGAGCATCTCCTCGAAGGCCTCGAAGACGGGCCGCGAGAGGTATCTGCTGACACGACAAATTGGTCACAGAGCGCCAAAGCCAGCGGTGGTCACATTGGCAATGTGATTGTTCGTAGAATGTTTTGAGTTCAGCTGAATGCCAAGGTTGCGAACCGAATACGCATGCATTAACAGAGCTGGGTAGCGCTACTTTAAAATGTAGCGGCCGCTACCGCTACCGCTACATGCTCTAAATGTAGCGGGCGCTACCGCTATACCCACAAGATTGTAGCAAGCGCTACCGCTACCGGTACCGCTGCCGCAACAGTAAAATGTAGCGCTGCTACATTATCCGCTACAATGGCCAAATTTATTTCAAATCTCTAAATATTTATTGTTCTGCTATTGGGGTTTACTCATAAACATTTAATGACAATAAAACATTTTCAAAACATATCAATGCAACTTTATTGCAATTAACCTAACCGAACTAGTACGGGTTAGATACAGTAAATAAAAGTTACAGTTATTTTTATGTTTTACATTCCCTACATGGATGTCTACTTTAATCTACCAATCTCAAAAATTATCCACATATACATATAAAAAATCAGTCATTTATTTGTATATATAAGTGGATTATTTTTGAGATAGGTAGAATGAAGTAGATAGGTGAAGTTTCACCTTCCATGTAGGGAAGGTGAAACATAAAAATAACTGTGTAAAAATAACTGTAAGAAAACTGAAACATGAAAAAATACCTGTAAGTGGTAACTGGTAACAACTTAACAAGTAACAACTAACATGTTGACACTATAGTACAGGGTGCGCCACAGAAACTTACTTATTTGAAAAAATTCCTGTGCGGTTAGTTGGTCGGGTAGAGGGGCGAGAGGGGGTGCATCTGAAGGGATTTGTTTCTCAAAGTTTCTCAAATAAATTTGCTGTAGTGCAAGAATTAACTGAACGCGATTTTGCTGCCCCTCAAAATTCATGTAAAATGCAGGTTGACAACCTGCCTGGAGACGCGGTCGTTTTTTTCAGTGGTGAGGCTCAATTCCACATTTCCGGCTGCGTTAACAAGCTAAACATGCGTTATTGGTGTGGTGTAAATCCACGTGAGTTTCACCAGAAGCCACTTAACTGTGAGCGAGTTACTGTCTGGTGTGCGACGTCGGTAACGGGAATAATTGATCCCTATTTTTTTTAAGAAAACGAACGCGCAGTTACCGTTAATGGAGCTCGTTACAGGAACATGATCGAGGAACTTTTTCTTCCAAGACTCGAAGAAATGAACTTTAGGAACGTGTGGTTTCAGCAAGATGGAGCCACAGCACACACAGCACGAGACTCGATGAATTTGTTGCGACAACATTTGCCCGACCGCCTCATCTCTCTCAGAGGCGATCTCCAATGGCCGCCACGCTCTTCAGGTTTGACTCCATGCGATTTCTTTTTATGGGGATATTTGAAATTTCTGGTTTATGTCGATCGACCACGGACCATAGCACACCTTAAGAACAACATTCGCGACGTCATTGCCAAAATACCGATTGATATGCTGCATAGAGTGGAAACCATTATGAAAAAAGCGACTTCATTAGTTTATGCGCAATAGAGGCCGTCATTTATGAGATTTAATTTTCAAAACTGTATGAAAAAAAATTTTGGGATACTGCTTTTGTCGAATAAAAAAAATTTAAAACAATAACTGAAGTACTTTTGTTTTTATTGACCTTTCAAATAAGTAAGTTTCTGTGGCGCACCCTGTAACAGGCTGAGGTTGACAACATTACACCGAAATCTTTCGTACAGTTTTATTCTGTAATTTATATTACGTATGTATCATGCTGGTTTTTAAATAATATTTAATACTATTATGTAAAATCTAAAGGCTTTATCTATAAATGTAGCGGTAGCGCTGTAGCGGCAAAACCTCTTATTGCTACTTGAATATGTAGCGGGCGCTACCGCTACTGAAAATGTAGCGCGCTACTGCCCAGTGCCCACCTCTGTGCATTAAGAACTCATTGCCCACGCGAACAGGTAGGCCGGAAGCTGATGCTGGCGCCGAGCAGTTGCAAGCCAAATAATGTAAGATTTTGGTTAATTGAGCTGGAGCCGGTTAGAACGCTTCCAGTCTGAGACTGCATCCATGCAGACAGATATAAGGTCCTGAAACGCTGCAGAGTCAGCCGGCGCTCAGTAGTCATAAATTTGGTTGTCGTCGGCGGACATATGTCGATTCAAACTACGTGAATCAATTATATGTAATACTCTCGAGAGTATAACAGGAAGAGAATGGGACTGAGGACTGACCTCTGTGGTACGCCGCAAGTGAGCAACGATGGCCTTGCTGTGGTGATATGTAGCAATCATGGTTAAAAGTAATGATAAGTGGTTGACACTGTCGAAGGCTGGCGACAGGGAGAAGGCGGCTGCCTCGGTGGCAGCCGGCTGGAGTTGAAGCCAGTCGCGATTTGGTGCTTGAGAGGTGGAAAGAGCGGTGCTTGTAGAGTGGCTGAGTTTGCAGCCGTGTCAGGACGGGTAGGTGACCAGGGATGCTGTAAGGTGGGGAAGCAGAAGTCGCTCCAAAATGTTAACTGGCAAAGGAGTAGAATGAGACGATAAGAAGAGCCTTGATCCCTCCTTTTCCCGGGTTTTATAATGGAGATGGAGTTTTTCCGCATGACTGGTATGAAGGCGGTGAAGACATATGTTAAAGAGGTGAGTGTGGAATTGGATACCTATTGAGCCAAAGTGCTTCAGATGGAGGATCATCAGATCATTCGGTCCAAAGGCCATATGATTACTTGCCGAGCTGATATCTAGTTTGACCAGCATATCTGTGATGATAAGGAAGTTTATGTCGAGAGGGTGGCTCGAATGGAAGTGACACCAGAGACGGCGGTTGACACACGGGACAATCAATGTAAACTGCTTGCAAAAGGCAGAAACAGTCTCCCGTTGTGAGGAGAGAGGTTGGCCTTTGCATAGTATAAACAGGTTTGGACTGTTGACTAGAGCGCTTCCCAGCTAGCGAACGGTGGAGGTTTCGCTGTTCGATTGTTGGTCCGTTTGTCGCACGTCACTAGGTGGGCGCGTCATTTTTTCCTGGCATGTGCCTGAAGGAACGTTGACATGTCCTGGGGCTTGCGAGTCTTGCTGTCTAAACGATGTTCCCCTGCGCGATAAGGGAACGAAGTCCATGTGGAATCGAACGAGGATGTGGTGCTTTGCTGCCGTGGCGAGGATCCCTCGTAGGATTAATTCGCCCTAGCACTAGATGGGAGCGAAAACCCCCTCATCTTCCACAACGACGGTTTAGCGGCCATTTTGCTTTACAGAAGTTAACATAACGCAATATTGTATTGTGAATAAATAGCTTCATTGATTTGTGGGAAATTTTTCCCACTGATATTATATTCTCATTGATATTATTTGTAGTTCTTCGTAAAATTTGTTAGCTTGATGTTGTTATTTGTTTTGTATTGTATTCAGAGTTTTGTTGTATTCAGTTTTTTCGTAGTTTAAGTAGGAAGCAAGTATCGGCTAGGATCAGCATTCTTTATAAACACCCATATTGTAAAGTCATCCCATCTCGTACCGTTCTTTATCTAAAATCATCATAAATTCTCAGTTATTCATTTTAACTCTTAAAATATACAGCGACTTCAGCTGGAGAAGCATAGGGAGATTCAGAAGTTCTAAACGTCTTCCTGGCTGCTTTTCCCCTATCTTTTTGTTGGTGTGAATGTTGCTTTTTTTCATATTACTTATTTACGCTCTTTTTTTAAATGGGCAGGGTGGCTCAGTGGTTACAGTTCAGAGTACCAGGATTGGAGCAGAGAGGCGCGGGTTCGATCCCAGCTCTGTGCGCCAGTTTCTGGTCAGAATCGGCGAGGAGCAGAATTGTAGCAGTGAGTTGCGAATTCGAGACCGCAAAATGCTGTGAATGTTCTGCGATGTTAAGAATCGGCGACAGGCCCACGGCCTATAAACGCTGAAACCGCTATTATTATTATTATTATTATTATAAACTTTTTCCACGGTACTCCAGACAAATCAACTTTCAATTATTAATATATCAAATTTCGAACTAAGTAAACGAGATCTCTGCTATAGGCCGAGGAACTAGTTTCCTTAGCTGTGACCCACGTTTATCTTTATCTCAAATTTCCAACGTCAAGCCCCCAATTCTGTCCTTTTCTATTTTCCGTCTAGAGTACCTTCCTTCAACTGATTCCCTCTATTTTTCTTATGTGCCTCCAAACTGCATTAAACACTAAGATGCACCAAAATCTTAGGTCTGTATTTATTTATGTCATTATTTGATTCATAAGTTACAGTAGGTTGTCACATAGTTATTGTTCGATTAATTCATTTTTATTGAGTAGAAATATATTCCTTCCAGTATCGGGGACTCATCGGGGCAACAAGGAATTTTTAAATACCGCAACCACTTCATAGATACCGCTAATCTGCCAATATTGTCAACTCCTAATTCATCCTGGATCTATATACTACAGTATATAAGAATTTTCAGCTTCCTTCTACAACCGGCCCAATCAATACCAGTTGAACATTCGTATCAATTTGAATAAATATTAGCTGAATCTATTATCTATTTATTTGTCCGATTGTGTGAGCCAAACATAATTACTCACAGATTAGAAGATCATAATTGCTTTCTATTTGCGAGAAATTAGAATTTAGCACGCTAATTAAAATCGGAGCAGAAAAAAATTCCGGCAAAGCTCGCACAAACGTATTGTGAACAAACTTCTTTTTTGAATTGGGTTAAGATCGGGTTTGAATTGGGTTAAGATCGGGTTTGAATTGACAAACATATGCGCGGAAAACCTATACTATGAAAATGTGTCCCAGCAATTCGCTCCAAATATTAGTGCCAAAAGTGTAGAGGCTGTTCTGTGGGTCTGTCAATTTACACTGTCCGATGGAGCCAGCGCAGCAGGTCACTCGGAGGTTGTCGACATTATGACAGCAATAAGCGCATTGAGAAATAACCTGATCACAAAACGTTCACGAGACCTACAAAGAATGCTAGTATCAACTACGATGCAGGAGGAAGCCATCAAGTATAATCCTACTCGGCGACCTGATCTTGGCGTCCACGTGGAATTCAAAGTCATCAATATTTCGTGATAGTGATCCATTTTTTACACGGTTAAATCGAAAAAAGACACTTCAATTTGAATTTTACAACTTTCGCTCTCGACTGCTATTCAAGTGGTTTAAGCAAGCATTCCGAATATGATAAATTCAAAATTAATTGTTGTTGAATTATTTCTCAACAATTTAGAATTACAGTTTCAGGCCAATCTTGGGATCTTCTTCAACGCTGATACTACTGTACTGTGCTAAACCAGCATATCAATTATTTTTACAAATTTAGGTTGATTAATATTGATAATATTAATCAAAGGAAGGTCAGCCAAAAAAGGGCAGTTGGGGCGTCACCAGGATCGTGAGTTTATTTGCATTAATAATGAAATAAAATAAAAAACGAAATACAACATGAAATGCTTCTCAGCACAACTATAAACCTAGCCCGGCGTTGCTCGGAACTGATTATACCTGATACTTGGTAATCACTTTATTCCGAATACCGCCACTCCAGATCCCACCTTTCCGAATCACATTATTCAAAATCCGTTCAATTCTGTTCCCGCCATTCCAAATCCCTATAAATTCCGAATCCCTCCATTCCAAAACCCTATATTCCGAAATCCGCCTTTCCCAATCCCAAATTCCGAATCTCTCTAATTCCAAATTCCTAAATTCCGAATCCCCAAGACATATAACTTGAGAATTCTCCTAATAATTTTTAACCTTAAATAAATATTCCATATTAATATGATTTTTCACGTAATTTGTCCATCTTATTTACTTCTGCATGAATTTAATTCCCCTAAACTCTACAATCATAAACTAAGTAATAAAAAATTCGGATCGTGAAATTATGCTTAAACACCGATAGTATCAATGTATAATTGTTCATGTACGTTGAAAGTAGTTACTCAAATAAATTTATAACAGGTTAATGAACCAAAGTTAATTTTTTAACATAACCTAATATTATAAATTTTTCTTTATTTTGTTGCTTCCTTTTTTTCTGTTTCCTGACCTGCACAGGGTTTGTGATTTCAAATTTGAATTAAATAACCGATGTACCAGCAGAGCAGCTTGCTAGCAAATAACAAAAAATTAAGTTGTTACTCTTTACATTCTAATTCAAATTACAGAATAGTAAACATGCCATTCTATGTATTGATTATGATCATAATTTAATCATGGATTGACTCCATTATGTACTGATTCAACTGAAGTTCACCACACATCAAATTTTCCTTTTGCCGCAATTAATGAGATTACACACGCTATTGACAATGTGGTAAATCTTTAGCAAACTCATCCGTGTTGAAAAATTTGCAATTTTCTCATTTTTGCTCCTCACTAATAAGCGTCACGCCCATTAATTTTAGTTCGTATGCAATGAGTGTTTCTACCACATTGTACTGGTTAGAGATAAATTGTTTCAAACGTAATCTAGAAACTTGATACTCCAATAACTCTTAATTTAAACAGATTGAACCATCTAGCGAACGAGATTTATCCACTCCAATCGTCCTCTGAGTCATCTTCGGGAGTTGTTTTGTATATGTTATCGATAGCTCCTCGGCGTGCGTCGAGGCTTTGCTTCAATATGTCCATCATATTATTGGTTCGCAAAGACTCTTTCTGGAGTTCACTCTGAACTGGAGCAGACACCTGAAAAAGGGTTGCGGCAAATTCAAGTCACATCAAATATTTTTATTTACGTTAATAGTTACCTCAGCGCTACTTGAGTTTAAATGCAATTTAAGTATGACAGTGTTCGAAGTGTTTAATTTGTTGACCAAAGACTTCGAATATCTTATGATTTAAACTACTTGTGGATAAAGCGCGTTAATTTGTATTGAAAGAATAAATAGTGCTATTTTGAGTTGAGCGTACGATCAGGTGAAGAAAAATCCCAGAAATAATTACAATCTTGATTATAAGATGTGGACCAACCTTCCTCAAGCGGCCTGTTGGGTTGTTACTTTGCAGGGCGGCCAACAGCCCTCCTCGTGGATCACTGCATTGGGTGAACGGAGCCTGTAGGAGATCATTAAATTCATAGTTAAGGTTTGAGCTTAGATATGATATTATTGGGCTTAATTTTGAATAAAAACTTTTATTTTCACATAATTTGAGAACCTCGAGTGTGTTTACCGATTTTGGTTGTCCCTCGGGACTGGAATTCGGGTTGCTGTTAGCGTTCCAGTTAAGCTGAGATGCATTCATTGGATATTGAGCATTGAATTCTTCCCGAAGCTCGGATAATGGTGGTGGGGGAGGGAAATTCTCATTCTCTGAGCCTGCAAACGAGTCTGCGTGGATGGATAAATTTTTCAATGGCAGATGGTCGATTTGAGACGGAATCGGTGGAGGAGGGGGAGAGTCACAGGCTCTCAAGTTATTTGCATCTGTTATTGTGTTGTTCTGATGCTTTGGTGATGTTTTCCCATAAGCAGTTGGTTGAACCTTGAGTTTAGTGATGTTAGTATCCTCTTTGGTCGAGGCAGACCTTCGAATACGGACGTTCTTCATGAACAGGTCATTATTACTCGTGTTTCCGCTTGTCATTTCCTGAGATGCGGAGGGCGAATTGCTAGAATGGGATGCATTGGTGAAAGATTTCTTGGGAAATTTCTTGAATTCGAGGATTTGAGATGGGTCGAACCCCATAGGAGATGTTGGCGAGACCACCGTTGATGGTGGAGTGCCACTCTGACGAATGTTGGGCTTTTTGTTGCGGTTCACAGCAGGTTTAGGAGGAAGATTCCTCGAGTTGAGTTCATCAATGGGGGGTGATGAAGGTGAGCTGGACGATTGGGAATGGCTTCTTGAATTAAATGGTAGTGAGGATGGAGCTAGAGTAATGCCTTGGCCAATGTTGCAATTCTTCAGCGTTGGTTTAGTCGGTAGCTTTGGTTGAACAGGACTGTCTCGAAACTTTTCCGGATCATCGTCAATGTTAGGTTTATTAAGCGGTAAACCTGAGGGCCCTGAAAATGAAGAAAAATTACTATATCATAAAAAACTTTTATCAACATATTATTCAAAGTCGCTGAAAAATGGATCCTGTTCAGTGAAGCATCGGGCCAGTCGAGCATGAATTAATAAATTATCCTGGGTGATTCACGGAAAAATCCTGTATTGCATTTCGCGCCAAGCAGCCAGATGTTATAGGAAGAGAGCGGAAAGTATTTCATATGAGAGACAAGGGCATAAAGTTTTGTGTCTTGCCTATTCAGTTGCCACTATGGATTGGACAAGTGAGTAGGGTGCGTTTGCTGTCGATGCGTATTTTTCTAATGGCCGTTCCATTATCGCTACTCAACGAGCATTCCGTACTCGGATTCGTATTAGTCCTTCAGGTCGGGTTCTTGGTCGAATATCGATTGTTACTAGGGTTCCCCCGATTTGGCTCCGTGTGATTTTTTTGGGGGTTATCTTAAATTAATTGTTTACAATGACTGTCCAATTAAGGACCATAACTTATCTGAAAAACAATATACGCCAAGCCTTCGCCAACATGTCAATATGCTTCAACGAGTTGAACGGAACTTCAAAAATTGACTAGTAACCGAATGCATTGATAATGGGGGCCGTCATTTGTCCGATATCATCTTGAAAACTAAGTGATACAATAATTCAGGTTATGTCTTTTTCAATAAAATTTATGTTGTAGCTAATGATATCTTTTCGAGATTTTTTTATTGAGCTTTCAAATCGGGAAGTTTTCGTGAATCACCCTGTAGCTACTATAATCGAGGCTTTACATCGATATTATGCCAACATGAAGTTAAAAAAATAAATTATACTAATAAAATTGGTTAACATTTTACATGCTTTCTGTTTAGACTTACTTCCGTTCGGCTGCTGTTTTGGTTTTTTCGGCAGTCTCTTAAAGAGCTTATTCCCATTGGACAGGACAGTCTCCCCTTCGACAGGACCCAGTTCAGCAGGGTTGGGTGGTGGCAGGTCAGGTAGAGCTTCTAATTTATTCTTGCTCGTCCTTATCTTCTTAGGAGATTTAACTGGGGTTTCAGCAAGTGTTCTGTTGAGCAAATAATGCGTCAGCAAATTTGTAACTTGATGTCACCTCTCGAGTCACTGTTCAAGAAAAATGAAAAATCATTTTAGTCTGTATCGACCGATCAACCATCCATGAACGTATTCTTCGCTAAAACATTTTTTCAAGGAGTTAATATAATATCATAAATTTACTTCCCACAATGTAAACTTCTTATTTACAAGAAAATACTTGAAATATATTGAAAATTTAAGCGATGAGTGCATTCGTGCAATAAGGTAATTCATCTGTTTCATTTTGACATTTGTCATCTGCGTGGTCTTCCTAAAGTCCAAATGCACTTCTACGTTATAAAATTTTTTAAGAGCAATGCGGCCATTACGTACGTTTGATGAACAAGTGTTTTAATGTAATCTTTAGCATTTACTAATGCGTTTTGAACGTCATATTTTCAAGCATGTAAGTGTGGTGTTCTGTAATTCATGTCGCCATCTCGAACGCCTGAGGACGCACGTAGTCTCACAGATGTGCTAAGGATAACATCACTTACGGGGCAGGAGGTTGTGCCGCGCTGACGACTTATTAATTAAGTCTTAAGAATAACATCGTAGGATGTTAAGTCTTAAGGATAACATCAAGTCCTAAGGATAACATCAAGTCCTAAGGATAACATCACTTACGGGGCAGGAGTTCGTGCCACGGTGAAGTCGCTCCCAGCAACAGGCCGCGTTCCCATTGCGCCGATTTTAGTTTCGCGTTCTGAAGACATAAACACACACGCTGATGAATTCGTTTTATCGTTTATCTCTGGGTATTTACAGTAAAATATCATGAATTTGATGACAATTTAAATAGAAAATTCTTGGATATTATTGTGTAAAATGATATCGAATGGATTTTAAAGTTAAACAGTAGTAATTTGTAATGAAAATTCTATTGCGGAAAAATAACAATATTTCTAGCCCATATTGCAAGACAACGAAAAAACATGTATGTCAAATTTATTGATATCGATCAACAAATATGAGATCATGGAAATACGAGTACTTTAAAAACAAATTAAACTCCTAGAATAAATATCAAGCAAGATGTCTCCCGCATTTTCTTTTTATAAACGTAAAATGACTTACTTGTCCTGAGATGTTTGATCTTCTCGGTGACAGCGTCGTAGAACATGTTCGCCTTGAGAGAGTCTTTGAAGACGAACCCGACAGCGTCTTCCGATTCCTGTAATTATGATACCTTCTCAGTTGAATGCCAGGAATTCCATTCATAATTTTGTTTGAAATTAATTTCCATTGTTTCAAATTGAATCATCGCGTAACAAAATCAAGAAAAATAGTAATATTTATATAATATTATAGTGTAATTTTATGATAAGCTATGTGTTGAATTAGAGCATTAATGATGCATTAAAATTTCCAGTATATACTGGAAATGTTAATGCATCATTATTGCTCTAAATAACAACCTCTTCGAAGTTGTTATTTGGAGCAATAACAACCTCTTCGGCAATAACAACCTGTTCGACGATGGTGTGGGCCGTTGGGTGCAGTTCGTTGCGCTCGTAAGACAGAGCAGGGTTCACTTTAATGTCCACAACCTTTCTGCCTTGCAGGAAGTCGATCATCTGATCAAAAAACGCTGCAATTAGCCCTTTGTTTCAATATAATTGTATCAACAACAGTCTATAAATAAATAATCCGGAGTAATACATCAGGAGGTGATAATTCGAGTGTCCGTTTACAGAGATTAGCTGTAAAGAACGCCTACACTAAGAGTGAGAAAGTGATGTTTAAACTCCCAAATAATATCTTCGGAAAATCGGAATGCTACTGAGCGAAATATTTATGAAAAAAAAAATAGAATTGCGACTAGGCGTCACACGGCTGGATCTAATTCGGCTCTAATAAGACATTAATTAACATCGACAAAACCTGACCAAAATGAAAGAGAAAACTTGATCGACATGTAAATAATCTAGAATGTCTAACCACAGCAAGGCACATGTTCAATAAAACAATGAAAATTGTTGCTCGCACAGAACGATGTCGTTAAGAATATTTGCTCTGTTCGAAAAATGTCCGGTATTTTCCAAGTTGCTCTTCAGAAACACCATTTGAGTTAAGTGCACGAAATTCAAGTTTTAACTTATTTAAGCCATGACAAGGACAAAAATACTCACCGGGCTACAAAATTTGTGTATATTATAACAAGTTAAGATATAAAATTCAGCTTGAATTTTGTGCAGTAAAGTGTTGGTAACTCTTTCAATGTATTGTCCAGTGATTCAGGAACCTATCAATAGAAATAAAAGAAAAAACTATTTATCTGACTAACAAAAAAATGTTTCATAATTTTTATTAAAAATATAGAACTTGGAACAACGAATTCAATCCAATATTGAAGAAAATTGGCTCTTTGCAAGAACACTTATAATTTAAAATAATGTTAAATAATGTAAAAAATGAGAAAATGAAGTAAAATAATGTAAAATAACGTTAAATAATGTAAAATAAAGTAAACTAATGTAACTAATGTAAAATAACACAAAATATTGTAGAATAAATTAATATAATATAAAATATTGTTAAATAAAGATAAATAGTCGAGGTTTCCCTCGTCCCCCACCATGACATAGTAGCCCCGACGGAGGCTGTCCTTGAGGAAGATGGCGAGGCCGTGACACTTGTGCACGAAGGGGTACGACGCGTGGCTGAGCGCCATGTCTGCCCATCCCGTCACCAGCACCTGGGCCAGGAATATGCAATAATGGAATATCTCGAATAATAATTATCTGGAATAATAATTATATCTGGGCCAGGAATATGCAATAATATATACTAATAATGTTTCAGTAAATATAGCTGGTTATATAAATGAATGTTAATTCGTGTAAAGATTGTCATATATCAATGCACATAAATACAAGATTGTCGTAAATAATGCCATATAAATTGGATGTAAAATATTTAAATTGGTAGTGCATCTTAAGGGGCAGGCAAAAAATTGACAAATAAACGTTACCAATCATGACAATACCATCATTGTTTACGGACGTCATTGATATAGTATCTTGATTCACAACATAAACTGAGTATTAGACACAAAATCACAAAACTAAGCTGCATGTCAAAATAATACAATTGATTACATTAGAAGAACAAACACAATCAGCACTACAACCGAAGCAAAAGATCAAGTGTCGTTTGAGCGTGCTGATGGAGCTTTGCATCAAGGACGCAGTGTCAGCTGACAGTCAGCAGACTGCATAACCCGAATGTTTAAAAAAATTTCGTTTGTACTGTAGATTGTATTCACACCTAACAACAGAAATAGAGAGGTTGAAAGATGACTAATAACAAAATAATGGTCAGTGAGTGTCTTATCCAATGAAGACTTGATATGAATCACCAAGTCTGTTTCAATAAAGTGTGCAAGATTTACATGCGAGTCTCGCATTTCAATCTTCTAAAGCTCTAATGCAAGTCATGGTATGATTGCTAAGATTCGGCAAGTGGATATATCTGTTCACGAGAAAGCGTAAAATCTTCTACATAATTTTTATATACTGGTAATGTTCCGTCTATATATGGGGCCCCGATAGCCCTTTTACTATAACGATCACAACCAAAGTATCACTATCGAGAGCAAATCTTAAGCCATTAAGGTATCAGGCAAATCACTTCAGAAATCACTCAGAACAAATTGCTGAATAAGCTTAGAAGAAGAAGAAGGAAAAAATCTTTGCTAAGATCACCAGGCTCTAACCACCATGTGATAATAAAATACTTGGGATCTTGAAGTTGATAGTCGCAGGTTCTAAGAAGCAAAGCTTGGTTCAGACCGAGATAAGACGCTTCCTGTGCGATAATCACCATACCATCGAGCCTAGCGAGTCTAGAACCTTGAAACAGTGACCCAAGTATTGAAGGAAAAGTTTTAGATGATTAAGTCGATCGACGCCACCAAAGTGAGTTTTGATGCATTTTTTTAGAATCGTGAAACGGGAATTAACTGAGATGTGTTTGCAATGCCAGCGTTGACTTGTAGAAACATAATGAAGCTATCAACAACAACAAAAAATAATAATAAAATTAGGCTAATCATTATTAATAATATAAGTTAATGCCAGAATTTGCAGAGTTGGTTTTAGATGAGTAGCTCATGCTATATTGCAAAGAGGTGAAATTGTGAATTTAGGTATGCGTAAATTTTGTTTATGAATTATTCAAAATTGGTTAAAGATTATTCCGAATTGTGATGATCTGCCAGCACATTCACACGTGTTTAGTTTAACTAAACATGCCAGCTCGCTGCAGGAATCTTTATAGACAATATAAGTCAGGTAGAATTAGGAGTATCATTATGCGCCAATTGATACTACAGAGCAGTTTTGCCAATGGAAGGCCGTAATCTCATTTTTAGCGCATTTGCTCATTTATGGAAAAAATGCCCTATTGTGTTCGTCATGTCCGCCTGACTGTCCGTCCGTGACTTCACGTTTTCGTCGACGAGAAAATAAGCTCTCTGTCATTCACTGCAGTGAAAACTGAGTTATATTTTTTATAAAATCTGCACTGGAAGGGGCCTTTATGTAGCAAAAATTGCCCAGCAGTATAAATATATAGGCAACTGCAGATCACACGTGTCAGTTTCTGGGCAGTTTTGGAGCAGCACTGAAACAATGCTTACGCCTATAAGAAATTAGGCTTACAATTTAAGGTGCATGGATGTGTTCCATGGTTGAATTTGTTTTTATTTGTTGGGTGCGCTAAATGTGTTGAATGATAATTAAAGACATGAACATTCTGCATCTAATAATATCCTCATATTTTATTGTTATACTTGATCATTGTAAATATGATTGTACAAAATTGATTCGTTCGCAAAATTCATGGCGACAGAAATTTTCATGGTGACGTAGGAGAAAGACGGCATAGCGATTACTATCTTTATAACAGAAAACGTTCATATATTCACTCTGTATTCAATTATTATCTTTATAAGAGAAAACGTTCATATATGCTCTCTGTATTCAAGTATTATATTTGCAACATAAAACGTTCATATGTTCTCTCTGTATTCAAGCATTATCTTTATAAAAGAAAACGTTCATATATTCACTCTGCATTGAAGTATTATCTTTGTAAAAGAAAACGTTCAAATATTCACTCTGTATTGAAGCATTATCTTTATAAAAGAAAACGTTCATATATTCACTCTGCATTGAAGTATTATCTTTGTAAAAGAAAACGTTCAAATATTCACTCTGTATTGAAGTATTATCTTTATAAAAGAAAACGTTCATATATTCTCTCTGTATTGAAGTATTATCTTTATAAAATAAAACGTTCATATATTCTCTCTGTATTCAAGTATTATCTTTATAAGAGAAAACATTCATATACTGTATTCTCTCTGTATTCAAGTATTATCTTTATAAGAGAAAACATTCATATACTGTATTCTCTCGGTATTCAAGTATTATCTTTATAAAAAAACGTTCATATATTCACTCTGTATTAAGTTATTATCTTAATAAAAGAAAATGCTTCCGAGTTCAACTCCATCGTTCGACACTCCTGAAAAATTAGTACGATCACTTAGTAATCCGAAATTCACAGGCGCACATTTCGTCAATTTTAATACCTGTTAATTTTGAATAGTTAATTTATCATACTTTCATTCTATGATCGTTGAACTGGCGATAGAGATGGACTCCGAAACGTTTTTTTTTATAATGATATGGTGAATTTTTGTGTAGTATTTTTTGTTTTTAAATTCCTTGTTAACTTGCGATCCACGCATTAAAGTGATCTTATTAAATATTTCATTGAATAATGGAATATAAAATTTTTGGTCACGGGTGCTGCAAATCAAATGAGCGTCAGGTTGGCAATTTGAAATCCGTTCTATTTTTCGACAATCTGTGTTAACATAGCATGTAGATCAGTCAATCCAGATTGTTTAAACGATCTAAATACCAGTTGCAAAATCATCCTAAACCATTAGGAACCAAGTTTTGCACAAATGTATAGCAAGAAAATTCGCATAAGATCTGCTTTTTATTTCAAAAAGACTAGCACAACAATATACTTAAAAGAAGAAGAACGTGATTACCACCTTACCTTAGAAGATGGCCCGGTCTCACGTTCCAGCACGCTCCGGTCGTCTCCTTTCATTTTAAGCGGTAAAATTTCATCCATCATCTTTCCTGTTGCAGGGTATGTACACGTTATTTATCAAACGCCAATATTTTATACTGCTAAATTATTTATTATTCGATTTGGTTGAAATGCAGGTTACAAAAACCTTCAGATTTGTCTCGCTGTTACTCAACTAACCGAGGGAGTTTCTTCTTTCTTTCCCTGGCGTATCTTCTTATTTCGTGTTACTGATTAAAAATATCTACGGAGAGAATGTTAGACCGTCCTTGTCGAAGGGCAACAAGACAATGAGCTGGGGCCTCCTTAAGCATACAGTTGACTAGGTTGCAAGAACGTCTGAGGCGCTACTGGTCACACACTAAAATGGTGTAACACAGATGACTGCGCATACGCGATATGAGGCCGGAAACCTCCATCTTAGACGTCTGTAGGTTTCTGCTCGCCGTATCTGAGTTCGTTCCTAAGAACAAACGAGAGCTGAAAACTAAGGAAAAATAATATCAGCAGCATCTTTAAAATTGTGACTCGCGGGGATGCATTGACACACTTTTGGCACACTTAGATTTTATTGACAATATCCACGGATACTGGCACGACTGGCAAGCCAGCATGACAATTTATGATAGAATATCAATGTTCAAAGTTAAATGCCGGTATTTAATATGACACCATGTAAATAATAAGTTAGCTGAATAATTCAGCAAATTTTCTAGATTCGTTGTAAAGTAATTGTGAAGTAATTAGCTGACCGTAGGAGGTAAGTTACATCATTGAAAGCTTGGTGTCGTATTCGAGGACACATTTTTCCGATGATTTCCTCGGCAGAACGTATCCTTTGCAAAGCATAGAGATGCGTAGGTGGTCGATCATATGGCGTCATTAATACTATGGCGTCATCAGTCCTAAAAATGCTTCCGCCCCCCCTTAGTGACTTGGTATTCATTATTAAAAATCTTTATAATTAATGAACAAAAATTTAGACAAATTTAATATAATACAGTCTGATCATAAATTTAAATAAATAATCATAATAAATACTAATCATAAAATAAATAATTATAAACTTGAACATGATTATGGTTCTTAGGTGGCTTAGCGCCGCTATACCGAAAAAGTGGGGGCTTAGCATGGGTGTCAACCTGAAAGACACTGAAGATAGACACCATAGCTGAGATAAATTCGATATATTTGGCCTCCATCTAATGGTGAAATAAAAGAACAGGAAACGCCAATTAATAGTGAGTGTGGTAATTATTAGTGAGCTCTTCAGTAGTCCGGTAAAATAGCAGATAGTTTATTATCAGGCAGATACAGTACAGGAACTAATTTTAAACATTCATGTGTATAAGAATACTTCGACTACACATCTTAAGCAGTTATATATAAAAGCGAACTAGAACTAAATTCTTGCATTGAATATAAACGATGAATTTTTTGCTTAAAATTCTGAGGATTTGAGTTTTCATTGCAACGTCTCGTTTTATGCACAGGCTTTTGTTTTATTTTGTAGGCTACTGTCCTGTTAGGCGGGAACGCCGTGTCGTGTTATGTAGGATCTTTTACTTTTCTGTATGAAAGTTTTCTCTTGTTACGTAGGTTCTTGTCCTGTTACGTAGGGAATCCGTGTCTTATTATTTAGCCTCTTTCCTGCGTAGGCGAACGGCGCGTTCAGTCACGTAGACAAGGCTCGTCATATTTCCCTCATACTGGCCTTGAGACACCGTCAACTTCCCTGCGTCAGGATCACGGACAGCCATAACATTGGATTGCATCACTCGATCGATCGATCATCATTTGTAGATTTGGCATTGCAAGTCTCGAGGATAGGATTTAGCAAAGAAGTCTAAGAAGTATTATTATCATTTGTGATAAATAGTTTTTTTTTTGTTCTCAATATCAATCTAGTGATTAGTTTAATGTGCATTATATGCAATCCTAAATCCAGTTAAAATAGATTGCCGAGTCAACGACCGCTCATTACCCGTCATTGCATGGCTCCTGATATGCCCTGGATTACCTGCCACGATTCTCAATGGTTTTTGACGGCACACTTAGTAGTTAGTCAGAGTTAGTAGTTAGATGAAAATCTTTTAACCTGCTTCTGCATTACATAAATATTTGTTTCATAAGATAAAATATTTGTAATTGTTATCAGATAATTTTATTTATCGTACTTGCATTGGTGAAGAACTCGGAATGATCTCTGAGAGTTTCTTTGTTTTTGGACAATCGTAATGGACTCTTCACATGGGATTTCTGTTCAGGTATAACTAGACCTTCTGTTCATAGACACAATGTGCGAATGTTAATTTGTAAAGAGAAACATTGTCAACCATTGTTCGTTCTCAAAATTGACGTAAAGGGCAAAACATCTGTTATGAGCTTACATCGAGAACCTTTGATAAATGTAGAAATTTAATGTTTACATTTGATTAGCCGCTGCAAGACTAAAGTATCTCCGGCACAGATAGGCGAAAATATTCATTTTATTTACATATGACGTAACGCAAGCTTAAAATACATCAAAAAGAGTTCGTATTTTAAACAGTTTTGACTCATGGCCACGATTACGTAGAAATCACTTCGCATATAAATGCCTTTCAGCTCTTGCAGCTCTGGTAGGGAGTCATAAAGATACTTACAGACAAAAAATAGACAATTATGCATATTTTACAGCGCAAATACGTATCTCCATTATCAAAATATGCTCAACAGAAAGTGATGGCAACCTAGATTGAGAAATCAATTGGTGGGCACTAGCCTCTGTCGAAGCACAGCCTGACTGTAGACCCTTCGTTGCCGTGTAGGAAAAGTAGGTGGCGAAAGATCAGTAGGAGCCGTAGGAGGAGCTAAAGACGAGCACCCTGAAATGCTTGTAGAAAGTGAACTAGAAGATGCGAAAGGCTTTTGAAAATCCAAAGAAATCTTTTCGGAAAGATACCTTCGCTCAAGTGGGTAACTGCTTATTTCGTTGCTAGAACGTGAAATGCGGAGACGATCGGTAGAGGAGGAGTTCCCTACCAAATTAGACAGCGACGAGTCACTCACAGTACGTGATAGTCTACCACAAATCAAAGAACTTAGGCTCAAGTTGTCGAATAGGTTGAATGGTTGATCACCAGGCACTTGGAGTCTAGACTTAGAGTCACTGTCACCACTGACGTGAGATTCTAATGCACCTGTTAAATTCCCATTAATGCTTGAGCTTGACAGTTCTGGTAGGGCTGGTATGATGTTAATATCAGGCAAACAGGACCCGAGAGAATATCTGTTTTTTACATCGGCTGTTGTTTCTCTTGTTCTGCTTCTTAACCGAGCAGTTTGTGGGGTTCTCGCCTCATCCTGCCTGCCAGTCGATGATGGCTGATCTGCGATCTGCGCTCGGTTTCTCGACGAGTCGCCTGCTGAGTCCATCATACTGGAAAATGGACGATATATATTTTTGATATTCCACACTTCAGGTGCATAAATAAACTGATATTATTACAAATATTAATTACCCTTTTAAACGAGGTATCCGTCAAGAATAGAACAATAATTTCTGATTCAGGCCGAGCCAACGAACCTAATGAATGAATGAATGAAGCTTGCTATTCACTAAACGAAAACCAAGCGTGTCTTATATGAGGGTGACGACAAAGACAACAGTATTTTATGAAGGGTTCAAATAATCAAATGAATGTTTTTGAATTGTCATTCAAGATACATTAAATAATAATTTCCTTTTGTTATTATTTCAGGAGATTATGTCTGAGATGGTCTAATTCTGGTTGTCTTTTGTCTCCGCACCGTTCAGTACAAATAATTTCATGGGTCTAATCTTGAACGTTTATTTAAACGCGAGCGAGCTTATTTCCTTGATTATATTCTAATGTTTCAGAAAATAGAAATAAAGGCACATAAGATAGATTTTTGTGATCATATTACAAAATATTTTCGCATGATTGAAATAAACTGCTTATCATTATCAAATAAAACAGGAACATTGCTGCAAGTCATATGCTATGAGTTTGGAGTGAAAAGGCAATTGCACAGGATTCAGCTTACTTTTACCAATCAGTTATGGGAAAAACAAAGCACTTCTTCTAAGCATAGTTTATAGGTATATTATTTATTTAGGAGCAGTGTGTACTTCATATTACTATTCGTTGAGAAATAATTACAATAATTTTGTTATTACTCCGCTAAGATCGTGATTTCTTCTCCAAATGCCAGATAATAATATCAAGTTTCATAAAAGTATAAAACAATACAGTAAGAAGAAATTTGAAGAAAAACTTATGAAAAATTGATACTGACCCAACGGCTGCGACTTTCTCCCTGAAGAGCAGATACTGCCGCTTCCTATCGAAGTGCTTAACCTGCAGGCACCAGGAGTATGTTATGTTTAATTGTTTATGATAATAAAGTAGAGCCAATAGCACTTCAGCAAGCAAAATCTCATTGTATTTTCAACACTGATATACGTCAACTAATTCAAATTTTCTGTCACCGCCGCAGAGGCGTTATACAGAATACTAATTCAGAGTGGCCAACAAAATTTACCTATACTGAAAAATAGAACAATTAATAAAATTCATTGCAAAATGCGTGCAAAAACACTCTTTTTTCTTTGCGTTATGACGTGACTTTTTGAAATAACTGGAAAATTGTTGAAAAAATGAGTTAGTTAAATCTTGGTTAGCAAAACCGTAGACTTATTTAATATACAAAGAAAACTTTTAGAAAGTATTCTAAAATAGTTTAAGATCACCTAGATAAATTTCACTTATTTTTCATAACAAGAGGTGGTTTACTTGAGATTTTCAGCAATAAATCAATTTAAATTCATTCGTGGGACTGACCCAATGCTCAGGGCAGGAGGCCTGGCACAGTCGCCGCAGTTCCATGCACGGCTTCAAGGCTCCATCATGCGACGTGTTGGCTTGCAGACGAGCGCCATACTTGGCTTGGTGCGACGCAGGGCGTGTCACATCCTTGCTTGCGTCACTCTGCATGGTCTTCGAGCACGTCTGACCACCTTCTAAACTCCGATGCTGTCCGTTGCTAATTCCATTAGAAGAAATCTCGTTGCCGCTGTCATTTGAACACGTTCCATTGCGCCGCCATTGTGTGCCGCCATTTAAATAATTTCCGTCACTACTCGAGTCCCTCGTCAAAGGAACGGCGTCGAGACACTCCCAGTAACGGTCTCGGGAGGCGTAGCACAGATTCCGGGATTGCTTGTCGCGGAAAGACATTTTCAACTTTAGAATTTCGATCACTTGCTGGTATTGATATACGGGATAGTCGCCCACTTGCATTCAGTGCAAGTTACCTAAATTAGTATTCAATTTCTGAAAAATAAACAAAATGAAGAATTCATTGAGAATAGTTAATATTACAAATATTTTAACAAACAATACAAAAACATAACTTAAAAACGCAGAATGTTGAATATTACAATAATTATGAACGTTTATTAATTTTCTACATTTAGAGTGAAAATTCTCTATATATAATTTAATTCTATTTAAGTGTTGTAATACAATTACAATTTCACTGCTGAATCAATGTGCGCTAAATACTACTAGTTCTCGAACTATAAGTAAGTTGATTAAAATAAATTTTGAGAGTGTTGAAAGAAATTCTAACTCCATTAAAGAGTGGAAAACAGATTGACATGAACGATTGAACGTGTGAGTTCCATATCATGAATTATGAGCCATCCTTGACAGCTTTACAAGTATCGCGAGAGCAGAAAGAAACTTTGAGGTATTCATTCATTATTTTCGAATAATTATACATCATTTGATGCCTAGATAGTGGCAAAATAAATTGTCGACAGAAGGAACACAAATATCGCATCATGGAAACTATCAGCAAAGGCGCAACAGTCTCACAATTTCAATGGGACAACACAAGGGAGTCTGAAATTTCCTCTTGAAACTGTCTACTAAGACGTAAAATGTCTCGCGATTTCAAAGAGACATCACATTCGAAGATATTGAAACTATTTGCTTGATCGGAACGAGTTACGCGCTTTTAAAGAGACACCACATTGAAGCCTATCATCATATCTTAAAAACTGTCCGCTTAGGCGTAACAAGTCTCGTGTTATCAAAGAGGTTGTCGGCTCGAGCTCGGCCTTGCCAAAAGACCGACTAAAATAGACTGTGGGACAAAAATAGTGACGGGTGGTGATGGAGTGAGAGGGATGCTCGAGGGACTGACTAAAATAAAGACGAGGACAAAACAGGTAATATATGTGGATAAGACGACCTTTGGATCACATCAACAGCTTAGATGAGGCCTGAAGCTGCTTATATACATTTGGCCGGCTAATGTCATCGAGGTTATCTTTGTGGAAGCCGAGCTGTTTAACCAAGATCTTTCAAGCAATAAATGGCACATTAAAAGTTTTAATTAACGACTACGAGCTCATAATCTTGGATAATATTGAGCTAAAAATTTCCTTGCTTGCATGTAAAACCATCATAACCCACTCATTGTTCAGGAGAATTTATTATTTTATTGAAAATTAACTATGCCAAAATGTTTGATCCTGCTATCTTAGAAACGTCCATCTTGCAAAGAGTTAATACTTTTCTATTCCTGATTTGGGTATTTTTTATATCATAAGAGTTTTATTTACAATATATAAGAATTCTTCACACAATGACATTTCTCGTGTTTTTTTTTTTTTTTGTGTGACAACGCTACTCATGAATGAACTTGGCCGTATCTTGACAGATGACAGTGACAAAAGACGCACCTCATCTATGTACGGGTGTCGCAGGTGCTTTCGGCAGCCAAACTCATGTCAGGCTGCTATCATCAGGCATGTCAGGCTTTCCGTTCAAGCCGGCTTGTTTACAGTCTGGAGAGCATCTTTAAGGGAAGTTGTACCTTAATTTTCACGAATTCGAATAAAATCATTAATCAGTTAAAAAGTAAATAAACAATATCCGTTTGCAGGAGAGGACAATGAAGTCAGGAAATAGCGAGTATTCAGCGAGTGTCTTCCGGTGTTGATCTAATTCTCGACCTCTAAACAACATGCCTGCGTAAATGTTTCATATCACCGTTTCTAAAGTATATGGTAAACCAACGTTGTGCTAATTACCGGTTAACAATTATCCTAGTCAGGTGACTAATATGCAGTTTAATTAACACGGCACTTGAATTCCAATATTGTTATGTTTTCATAAAAAACACAGAGCGCTCCCGTAAAGCGTATCAGTTCAGAAAATATCCATCAATTATGGAATTGTAAAGCTATACGACCATTGAAAAATTCACACGGCCTTGTCATTGAATGAATCCGCTCCACAATCGAGCTTCACAGAGGAATCGTTTAACCTCTTGGCTTCTTGCCCATGTTTCACCTTCTAAATGATTCTTTGTTGAAGGGCAAGGAAATCTGATCGTCCATAAACTACTCATTTATGACCGAGTTAAATTTTTAATTAAAATATTTCTTCTTTACCTTTTATATATGATTTGTTTAGATATGTGAACGATGCCGGCAACTCGTTGCCCCGCGCGCTGAAGAGAGCGGAAAGCCACGATGATCTTTGCTACCTCCGCTCATGAGGAGCACAGCGGCGTGACTAAACATATTGGCCAGGACAGAATTGTGAAATGACCAGTCACAATTGTGAACTGAGCATGACTAGTCACAATAGTAAACTGAGCATGACCAGTCACAATTGTGAACTGAGCATAACTAGTCACAATAGTAAACTGAGCATGACCAGTCACAATTAGGCCGAGTCACAGTTGCCGAGTTACGGCCGCAATAATAAGAGACTATTCCTACTTTCACAACGAATTTTGCCTTGTATAATAATTTATTTGCAAAATGTGAACCGGAGAAAAATTCCGCTCTCTAAATTTTAAAGAGGTTACATTATGGCTAGTACGATGCATTCGGGAGGCTTTCCCCGCGTTAATATTTGTTTTCTTTATAAAACTACGCAAATTTAGAGGTTGTTTCTGCAAATATTTTAGGGAATAGAGTGTAATAGCAAATTGTTTTTCGTTATTTTTTTGTCATAGCAAGTATTGTAACTAATATTTCAACCGGGACAGGTTCGTGACCTTAGAAGTCTGTAATCGATGCGGCCAAATGTTTATGTACATAGGACAACTCAATCATAATCGATTAGAGATTACCCACCTTCCCTTTTTAAACGTGTATTATCCGAAAGATATCAAAATTTCACCAAAAAGGTCTGCAGTATTTCATCAGCCTGACATTAGCACGCATTTACTAACTAAACTATTTAATTATTTATAAATATAAACAATTAAATGACTAATAATAAAAATAATTATTTAATAATAATTAATTTTTAATTAGGAATATGTATTAATAATATTACATATTAGCATAATTGAATTCCAATTAACTATGGAGATCCAATTAACCTATTCAAGGGACAACTACGACAACAGCTAACCATGATCACTGCAGCGCCCAAAATCCTGCCCTAACACGATCCCTACTGAAGACAGAATAGAAATGACCGTCTACCAACACTGACACCTCGTAACTGAGGCAACAAGTGCCTGTGACTAAAACTTATAGTGTCAAGTCTGAACGCGCTCTATGAAAAATAATAGGAACAAAAACCTAATCTCTCAACACCGGTATGTCACCTCATCATACCTTTTAACTTAGTGCTCTTGAAATATTAAGCCCTAACTGTATAAAATGCGGATTTGAGTTTAGCTTTAATAATGTTCACGCCGAACACGCCCTAGGTTTTCGTGCAGGCGGAAGGTGCCATACGACATACCTATCTAGATTCTAGAGCCTGTCATTCGGCCGCCCTTGCCACATCGCTCACCACTATGCGTTATTTACATTGGGACGAGCCACCTGCTGCAAATTTCCTCCCTTGACGTGCTCACTTCCTCACAGTCTTCAGTCAGCTCGACTGAAAAACTCTTGGCACTTCTATTTTAGATGCTTTCGTCAAAGCAAACAAAAACATGCGCGGAACGCGTTTTATGTGACTTGATGGTTAGAAAGTTCGGAGTAGAATCGTGTTCTTTCGAATTAATAACTGATTACTCATAAGTGCAGTAGAAAACCACCAGACAATTTCTTCAAGATAATCATCACTTACCTCAATCAGAGGCTCATCTTTCAATAAGGTCGAATTTTATTGAAAATAGAGCAATTATTTCGATAGCAGAGTTCGGGATACCGAACTAAAACTTCATGGTGTTATCTGAACCTGAATTAAGGATGAAATATGAACCGAGTTACAGCAAAGATTGTTTACGAAGCACAGCCAAGACTTCACTATATTGGTAGCTATTTGAGTTAATCCTTTACGGTGCAAGCTACAAATAGAGGGTTTTAGCTTGACTTCAAAACTTCACTTGAAAACATCGAAGCTCTCTGTTGTTCTTATAAATATCAATGAGCATTCACTTAGTTTTAAATATTAATTTATTGTTCCAAGTTGTAATCGCGCAAGAAAAAATTCTCGTCATAATTAACACGACACTCAAATTCGAAGTCCCTCATTCGTTTGATTTGTTTCGTATCAAATTGAAAAAGAGTTTAACGTAAATGTTTGCCTGTGATCGTGCTAGTCTGCAGAAGTTTTAATTACAAAACATTCATTTAAACGAAAATAATTGCTTAAAAAGTTTGAATTTAACTTCCAGGTGCTGAACAAACATTTTTTTTATCACAATTTATCAGCAATGAGAAGTTTTTAGAAAAGGTTAACCTTTGATTGTTAGTAAATAAATAGCTACAATAAAATCAAATTTAAATTACCAGTTTCAACAGCAGTATTGCAGTTTATCGTGAAGCTGTAGCTTTGATAACGCATACCGAAACACGAGTTCAAGTAGCACACCACGCGAACGTGCTCAGAGTGTCATCCAATTAGCCCACCAAAATAGACCTGTCTTTTTCTGCGAAGTTAAGCGTGTCGCTGGCTGGGATGAATATAAGAAATGTATTATTCCTAACCGTCAATTTATATTTTAGTGTATAGGTTCATTTTCACCACTTATTGGGTTGGTATGAGGAAAAAATAACCAACGTCGGCGTTTAAAAAAAGCAGATGCGTCGGAGTTCAAGTTCAAGAATATTTGAAATAAGAGAAGTCGGGCCATAATTAAGCAGTTGAGACAGTGCAATTAAATTTCAGTCGACCGTAAAAATTCATATTTATTCCATATGAAGTAATAGGCAATTTTCATCAGAGATTGCAATAGGTAAATTCCAAAGATTCAGCTACTCTCTACCCGACCTTCGATAAAGCATTTCTAACTTAAGCTTGAATGAAATTTTTCTATTATTTTATATGTTTATGTGACAGCTGTATTTTGTTTTATTAATCTATTTACAGTATTCAATTGACTTATCACATCTGCCGAAAGTCGAACTTAATTTGAGACATGACATTTCACAGTAGCTGAAGATCTACTAAAAAACTTTAACGTCGAATCAAATATTTTGACATTGATTAAGTCTCAAATCAACAGCTTTATGCTCTGAATGCTATGGTAGGAACAGCATTTTCCCCCGAGGAAGCCACACGTCAGCTACAGATAAATAGGGACAGCTTTTACGTGAACCGAATTATAATTAAGATTATCACCAAGAGCATAAACAAGGTGAAGGGTTGTCAAACGCCCATAGTATAGGCATGGTGCTGTCAAAAGCGATACAAGTGCAGCGTCCAGGTGAGCCAAATTTTCCGTGATTCATTTAATGATACTAAGCAGGAAATATAAGCTATAATCATTTCTGTTTTGGTGACTCAGAATGATCTTCGCAGTAGTTTTTTTGTTTTCCATCCATGATCCAACTTATCAAGTATCACATGATCAAACATTTCCCTGCCTATCTCCCTATAGCCTCCACACACTCTCTGCCACCTTGAACATTGAACACATCCTCCCTGACGCTTAAAAAAATATTAATGTGCATATATATAAGTGCACATTAGCCTGTAGAGGATGCGTATGGTTGGAAACAAAATTATTTATTCACCCTACATGTCGCTTACAAAATTAAATGGGAGTATTTCCAGTGTACGACAACTTTGACGTCGGAGATACACGCCAAATCCAGACGTCTGTGACTACACAAGTGTTCCCGTCAACTCGGTGGCAAATATGCTTTCACTTGCTCGAGCCGCTCAGTCGCTACTGAGACTCAGATCTGAATTGTTATGTACTGGAGTTGAGAGGAAAATTAGAGTTTGTTTAGTGGAACATTGGTTTGTACTTCTATACTCACGTCGGACTTCGCACGGTATTTTTTTCAGATAGCTTGCGCCTGATCTTTAGTGAAATTGGTGTATGTAGTTGATTATTACTTGTGGTTTGTAGTAAGACGCCTCGATTGTATCGCGTCACTTGCATTAAATTGATGGCCTCGCATATTTTCGATTAACCTGAACATTCGAAATAATTATTTCGTCCGCTAAAATTACTTGTTATTGGTTCATTACAGAATGTATTCTCTGAAGTATATCTTATTATGAAGTGTCTGCTATCAATCACCATTTACCAGGTTTTGTTGATTCTCCGTTACTTAATGATAGTTAATTCCATTCTGCTTTAATGCAACTTCCAAACTTTCCTTCATCTTATTTTTATTTACTTCAGTCAATCTGAATTCGCAGTTGATAAAAAAAAACATGTCATAGGGATAGAGGTGCACTGTCCATGTTAAACATTTGTTGGTTTACGTCATAATAACGGCGCAAGTTGTTTCAGTAAAGATAATGCTAGTTTATTTATATACAAAGTATGACAACAAATGATAATCTTCGAAAAGTCTCATTCTGAAATTATGAAAATACAACCCGAACACAACCGATCCATTCAGAAGTGAGATCATTATTAATCATTAATTGAGATCATTTATTTGAAGCATGGGCAAAGTAGATCTTTTAATTTAAATTGTTACCCTGACCAATGATAAATTCATGAGTTAATGATTGAATTTTTTTCAGACAATGACTGGTTTCTGGACGACTTGTTCTGTACTTCTACTCATTGCTTGGAGCTCACGAGCAGACAATGCCGAGTGAGTTCATTTGTAGAAGGCATCTGGTTTTCAAATATATATTTTTATATCGGAAATGCGACGACTCTAAATGGAATGCTTCAATTAGCGAAAAAATTCGAGACAATTTCCAACTTTTAGTGAAAATCTGGAACATAACGCGACGAGACGAAATGTTCCGGATGAAATTAGATGAATACAATTTCGTTAAATTTACATTTATCGAGGTTGAATTTCTTATAATAAAATTTATATGATGAATTCTTTCCGAAATTTTTTTCAAATGCATATTTCATTTTTGTTTCCCAATAACTTTTCAGATAATACCTTTGATTAGTATCATCTTACTCACTGATTGATTATAACTCAAACAGTGCCGGATGTTGCATGAAATCTTACCCAAAACCGAAAATATTTTTAATGCAAGAGCTGGACGTTCGTATGCCAAACATTCCGAGAGTAATTGCATGGCCTTGCAAATAAGTTACATAAAAATTTAAATCTGTTATGGGGGGTCTTAAAAATTTGGACAATTCAAGCAACGAAAATTTCTGCTAAGTTGCGTTGGCGGCCAAAAGTCGCCAAGTCTGCCAACTGCATATTATTAGTCAGGAGTTCAACTTGTTAATATTTGATCTTCGCATTCGAAATGCTTCGTTTATTGTTTCCTGTCTTAATGAAATTTCTTGTCTGGTCTCGTACCGCAATAGGAAATATCTCGGATGGACTTCTTTAATAACTGCAAACCGTAACTTTCGTAACATCCAGGAAACAATTTTTAAATTCCGGGACATAATTGTTGGTCCAAATCATTAATTAATTCCAGGACAATTTTGTCCTCTGTCATTTTATTTTTACCGCAAAATTTATCGTCTTGTCCAGGTTCATTTAAAAAACATGGTTCCGCAACACAGAGGTTTAATTTCTAATTTTAGATACCTTCTTAAGCGCTTAATCACGTTGCAGATTAATCTCCTAGAGCTGTCTTGCAATAACATATCACATTAACCGTATTCCTCTTGCCTCAATAAAAATATGGCATATTCTGGCGTGAAGTCAAACATTTTAAGATGACAGGCAATTATGTTTCCAGCTGATTAATGAGCAGAATGGTAATACGGCCAATACTTATGCGGACTCGCAACTGTTGGTAGATTCATAATCTAAATTATTACAACACTTCTCTTTAACTTCACTTCTTGTTTGTTTGTCGGCTACGAATCTTTCAGTCGATATTTAACACACTTCGATACCTGTCCAATCGATTTGAAATTTTGTACACCTGCGTAAAGTCGGATACAATGCATGAATCAATTGACAGAATAAATAATTTCAAAAATTAAAAAAAATGTTTATTTTTAGATTTAAAACATTTATAAATCAATTATTTCAAATATTTAAAAATAAAGTAGGAAATTCATTGTACATGGGTTACATCGGAGGCACTCGCCTCTTTAGAAGTGTTGTCTTTAAAAGTAATTTTTAAACGCATATTGTTTAATAAATTATGGACCGTTCATATTCAAGCTAGAGCATTTTACTCAACAGAATACCACCTCTCTCTGGAAGTCCTTGGTCATGGCGGTGCGAGCCAAAGGGAGAAGGTCTGTATGACATTTGTGTACGTATACTCACCCCAGAGAACACAGCTACTCCAGCACTAAGTCATCCAGCCTGTCGGTTAACATGTGGAAAGTTTGGAACTTTATGGCCAAAACCTAAGAGTGTAAATCTCGGTAAACAACTGAGTTACTTCTTGCCGCACTCCATTTCGCATACTTTTGTTGCTAGTGAAGAGGACACCCTTTTGCTAACAGAAGCTTTTAAGAATTTCATGAAAATCTTGGACACCTATGACTCAGAATACCTTCTCGGAAAGCTAACTTGGAAGTCGCCCGAGCCAATAGGATACCACAAGGTAAATATTAACATTCATATAGAAGGTCCATCGAAAAGCCATTTAGGTCTAGACATCACTGATGAAAAGTATGCACTTGTTGTTACGACGGACCTATGTTCACAAACCTCAACAGCCAACATTACAGCTAAAACATTCTTCGGAGCACGCCATGGACTGGAAACGCTGGCACAACTGATTGACTATGAAGAAATAGAAAAGAAATTGATGATTGTCAACTCAGCTGACATCAAAGATGAGCCAGCTTTCCCCTACAGAGGTCTTATGCTGGACACTTCTCGAAACTTCATAACAGTTGAAGCTATCAAACGAACTATCGACACCATGTCTGCCAACAAGCTCAACACATTCCACTGGCACATTACTGACTCTTATACATTCCCCTTGGCTCTAAAATCCTTGCCAAAAATGGCATACTATGGAACATATTCTCCACGTCAAGTTTACCTACCAGAGGACGTGAAAGGGTTGGTGGAGTATGCGCGAGTAAGAGGTGTCCGAGTTGTGCCAGAACTTGATGCTCCTGCACACGTTGGTTTCGGTTGGCAATGGGGACCACAAGAAGGGCTTGGGAACCTAACCGTCTGCGTTGACCAGGTGAAGCTACAGATATTTTAGACTATGGTTAAACCCAAGTGAATGTATTTTGTCTGGCTTCGACCTCGAATCAAATCTTACGTCTATAACTTCAATTATTAATGCATATGCCAACATGACTTTTAATTCGTCTGTACTTTTTTTCTCGATGATTTAAAATAACCACGATGAGGCTACATTGTAATTTTATCAGATAGGTTAATCGTTTTTGATCCATTGTTTCCGTTTGACAATGAATTCAATGCCTACGAACGCCAGGAACCCTGGCAGGAGTTTTGTCTACAACCTCCTTGTGGGCAACTGAACATTGCCAATCAGAACATCTACACAATCTTGGGCAAGATCTACCAAGAAATGTTGGACATGTTTGGGCCATTGGACTTATTCCATTTTGGAGGCGACGAAGTGAGTGATAAAAAACACACAAATCTATGAAGTAGTTGAATGGGAAAATATTTGTTTTGCAGACAATGCATTGTACCTCGACTTCTATTTAATTGTTCGGAACTTTAGCAAAGTGAGAAAACTTTTATTTCATACATAGGCCATTCAATAATTTTTCTTGCAGTAAACTCTCTTTATTGCGCAGGTAAACGTTCATTGTTGGAATACTACGGAAGAAATTGTCACTTATATGAAGTCTAAAAACTTGAGTCTGACAGATGAGTCTTACTATGCGCAATGGAGTCAATTTCAAAATCGTGCTTATGACCTATTGACTGAAGCCAACGGCCAAGTTAAAATACCTGGGATCATATGGACATCACACTTGACTGAGAAAGGCCACACTAACCGCTATCTCAACAAAGAGAAATATATCATTCAAATTTGGTCTGTGAAAACGGATCCCCTAATCAAGGAACTTCTTGATCAGAAATATCGACTAATCTTCAGTAACAAAGACGCTTGGTACTTGGATTGCGGATTTTCAGCCTGGGTTGGTGAAGGGTTGAATTCGTGTTCACCATACAAGGGGTGGCAGCTCGTGTACGACAACAGCCCCAAGAAAATAGCTCTCAACGTCTCTACTGAAGTGGACTTCAGTCTCATCCTAGGCGGAGAAGCCCCTCTTTGGACTGAACAAGCCGACAGCTTGACCATCGATGGAAGAGTAAGTCAATATTTTGCATGTTATGTAATCACGAATTGCAGCTCTAGCGCGTTTTAAATGCGAAGCTACCATTGTGAGATAAGCCAGTTAGGTTGGGAAGTCAGGAGCAAAGTGCATGTTGAAGGAATTTGGTGTCAAAAATTATTAGAAGTGCTTTCCCGATCCGATTACAAAGCAAACATTTAACTGCAAAATCAATTAGTGATGTTTTTTAGAATAGCTTCAACTTCAAATACTTCAACTTTAGAATAGCTTCAAACACAAGTAAATTAATTCGAAAACAATTGAAGCGCAATAAACTGTTCAAAATGAGTAATCTCGCCAACAGAGCGAACTGCGCAGGACGATCTTCTTCATATAGTTCAGTTTTATTACTGTTTTACACTGCACTTTCACGATTTAAGGTGATTTTCAGAGATCGTGTCAATTAGACAACGATTCAAAATTGGCAGTTCGTATAATATTGCTGATCAGAGTTTCAGTTGTGATTTGATCTTATCGATCATTTGTTTTAAATTTTCAAAACGATGCTAGCTAGATTCAAGGACAAAAATGAAAACCATCCTTCAAATATCACAATACCTTAATTACTTGTTTCCCCATGCATGTATCTCAATGTTCATACATATTCCATAAATCTAAACGTTCATCCGTCATTCATCCTACGAGCAGGGTGGCCCAGTGGTTACAGTTCAGAGTACCAAGATTGGCGCAGAGAGACGCGGGTTCGATCCCAGCTCTGTGCGCCAGTTTCTGGTCAGAATCGGCAAGGAGGCCGGGCGGTTAAGCACAGCAGAATTATAGCAGTGAGTTTTGAGTTCGAGACCGCAACAAGCTGTGGATGTTCTACGATGTTAAGAATCAGCGACAGGCCTATGGCCTAATAAACGCTGAAACCGCTATTATTATTAAACAGTTTTGGCCCCGCGGTGCCGCCCTCGGTGAGCGCTTGTGGAGCGACCCTGACCACGACTGGAGGGACGCAGAGTACCGCATGGTCAACCATCGCCAACGTCTCGTCAAACGCGGCGTCCAGGCCGACCGACTCCAGCCTGAGTGGTGCCACCAAAACCAAGGCCGATGTTATCGTAATTGATGACAATCTGAAGCGATCATAACGAACTAACTAACGATCCTTATCGAGCGATAACACACAAAGCAGACGCATGAGACTTAGCTACAAACACGTTTCATAGTTAATAATGAAATAAGGAAATATTCGATAGCAATGCTCTGTGTGGTCTGTTTTCGGATCCTCGGATGCGATGCAATTAATCTCCGTGCTATGTTGTATATTATTCTGTTCCTTCGCCAAATGTGGAACTCTCAATCAGCAATTCTATATTTTCTACTTAACCCTTCACCGCAGTATGTCACTCTCCGGGAACATAACTTTCAACTTGAATCATACGTAAACTATTGAGTATAGCAATCTGAGGACGTTTGTACACAACAGAGAACATTTTAAAGTTGTCGTATGTGGCGGCAACCATCAGTGCATCATTTGCGCTCACTAGAACGTATCCTTCTTGGGTAGGCCCGTGTGACAATATTGCTCCGGTTACTCATGTCAGGCGGTAGACGGAACAACCACCAAACAGCTGAAGGAATTGTTCAGGCACAACCAATTATTCCAAATTCCATAAATTGTTCAATTGTACTCGTATATAGGATGCCCTGTAACTTATATAGGCTCGCCCATTGACCAGGGCATAAACTCATTGATATTCTCTGAAACAATGTGAGATTTTATTGCTAATTTCTTTTTTTTAGTTGTTATTACAACACTTCTCTTTAACTTCACTTCTTGTTTGTCTGTCTGTCTGTCTGCTACAAATCTTATAATCAAAATCTAACACACTTCTACTTATCCAATCGATCTGAAATTTTGCACACTTGTGTAAAGTTGGAGACAATGCATGAATCAAATGACAAAATAAATGATTTAAATTTTTTTTTCATTATTAAAAAAATTGAAAAAATAATTTTGTCAGCTACAAATCTTATAACTGATATTTGACACACTTTTACTTGTCCAGTTAATCTGAAAATTTGCACACTTGTGTGAAGTTGGAGGCAATGCATGAATCAATTGACAGAATAGATAATTTTGAAAAAGTTTTTTATTTATTAAAAAAATTGAAAAAATTAATTTTTTTAATATTCGAAAATAAAATGAGAAATTCATTGTACATGTGTAACATTGGAGACACCGGATTCCTTAGAAGTGTTATCTTTAAAAAAGTAATTTCTAAATGTATATTATTTTATTTGCAAGTGAATTGGAACGCAGAAGTTGAGTTGAGCTACAGCAGCAAGTGTGGCTGGTCGTATGCGTGTAGTGGCAATATATATTAGTGTTGTGCAATGCAGAGTGCATTGCATTGCATCGATTGAGAAACAATTGTAATTGGCTTATCCTTCAATTTGAAATGTTTGAAATTTGAATCAAGTTTGAAAATCAAATGTATTGATACTTTAAGCGAAAACGATGAATGTTCGTTGCCCGATGGACCTCACATTGGCTATAAAGTTGTCTGCTGTCTCGAGACGCCATATATCTGTCTCTTATACACATCTAGATGTGTATAAGAGACAGAGTAGCTACTTCAAACTATCGCCAGTCATGAAAAGATCCGGTCAAATGACACGAGTTTAGATTCTATGAACAAGGCACGAAATGGAAAAGAATCGGCGACAGGCCACATCAGGCCTACACTTCAGAGCCGACATCACTATGTTATGTTATGTTATGAACTGGTCTCTTTTTACAACACTTCTCTTTAACTTCACTTCTTGTTGTCTGTCTGTCTGCTACAAATCTTATAACTGATTTCACTTCATTCACTTCATTTATTCTGTCACTTGATTCATGCATTGTCTCCAACTTTACGCAAGCATGCCAACTTTCAGATCGATTGGATAGGTAGAAGTGTGTTATTTAACACACTTCTACCTATTGTGTAACACACAAATTTATGAACTGGTGTCTTTTTACAACACTTCTCTTTAACTTTACTTTTTATTTGTCTGTCTGTCGGCTACAAATCTTATAATAGAAATTTAATACACTTCTACTTATCCTATCGATCTGAAATTTTGCACACTTGTGTAAAGTTGGAGACAATCCATGATCAAATGACAAAATAAATAATTCAAAAAAATTTTTTTCAATGTTAGAAAAATTGAAAAAATAATTTTGTCAGCTACAAATCTTACAGTAACTGATATTTGACACACTTTTACCTGTCCAATTGATTTGAAATTTTGCATACTTGATGTAAAGTCGGAGGCAATGCATCAATCAATTGACAGAATAAATAATTTTGAAAAAAATGTTACATAATAAAAAAAATGAAAAGTTAATTTCTCTAATATTCGAAAATAAGATGAGAAATTCATTGTACATCTGTAACATTGGAGACCCTGGATTTTTTTTAAGTGTTGTCTTTAAAAAATAATTTTTAAACGTATATTATTGTTTTAAGTTACAGTAAATTGATATTCCGATGGCGCTCGGGATAACAATTGTCAAGATTGCCTGATAATTATCAAGAGCAAGGGGAAGGTTACAACTTCACCGAAGGAATCAATACCTATAATATAATTCTATTTAATACGTTTGTACTGTTTTTGTCTTTCACGTGAATTTTTTGCTTCCTTCATATTCGGTTACAGCTGTTTTGTTAACTTCGTAACATAAAATAATACTCATATATTTTTTATTTTTAAATCCTATCTACATATGTAAATTACGCTTATCCTGTAAATGCGTCAAAAGAATTGTTAAATTTTTATTTGAATTCCTTTGGTTTCGAATATAGGTATATTATATTTTGAAATAATCAACAAACAGTAACATTGGCATGTAACTTCCTATCAGTTACATGGTCTGCATTGGAAAAAAAATTAGAGTATTCACTTATGAGCCATAACCACCAAGTCGTAAAACTTGTCGAACAGACTACCCAGGGCTGCAGCTCGCGCTTCTAAACTGGATACAATGTACCGATCATAGACTGGCCATATTGGTGACATGTTGCATACAGTTTACACGCGTGTATTCAGTGTACAAGCACGCGGCAGCAGTGCTGATTCACTTACTGCACTGCTTCTCCGCGTCGGTAGGTCTGGCCAATGCGAACTTTTTGATTGATGTAAAGGTAGAAACTTGTTTCTTTCTTGTTCGAAAATTGTTGAACTATGTTGAGATTGAAATAACACTCTTGTTGGGACGGCTGGGGTCGGGGAACAGCATCTTAATGAGGGCAAGTAGGGTCCGCAACCTCAATGCATTATAACCTGCGGGGGTTAATTATTATTGAACAAAGGCATTACGTGAGCAGTCATGCAGTAAGGAACAGAATGACAGAGTTGCCCGTCTAAGCCATACAGGGGATGATTTTACGTGGGAATGTCTCACCCTTTTATGGTTATTTGATAAACATAATACTTATACACTCCTAATTCACCCTCGACATGAACTGAATGGTGGAAGCTCTCTCTACTAATTAACTAACTGAATCAGTTGATCTGCATGGTAACTCTCCGGACCCTTAATTTGTACCTTTGACTGAATACCCCCACGCAGGCTAAGCACCGATAACGGCACACGTATCGACCCACGCTCTTTAACAATAAACTGGTTTTCACTGAAATAAAGCCTAATAATTCACTACTGCCTACTGACCAGCCACAACGGCACCGACAGCGCCTGTAGTTAGCTGCTGCCGAGACACTTCTATATTAAACGGTTAATTTTTCGCCGAAGCTAGACTATTTCTTACATTTCTAAATTCATTGTCAATATTATTATTTATGGTTAAAATAACTCTAAAACATTCCCTGAACTTCACTACGGAAAAAATGAGAAAATGCGCTAAAAATGAGGAAAGTTTCCTTCCGTTGTGTATGAATATTAAATCGCCTCGACTGTGTATTCATCCAGCCAATTCCCTCTCAATAACTTTGCAATGATCATGCGCCAAACGATGAACCGAAAATTGATTGAAAAATCAAACAGATACCGAATTCAGGAACTGATCCAAATTTAAGAGCCGATTTAAGCCTTAGTTTCTTCAAAGGTCGTATCGCTGGTGCGCCTGGGTCGCCGCCCTCAACGCAGTTGCTCGACCAGTTTTGGCCGTGCCTCTAGCGCAACACCGTGCAAGGCGTAGTCGCGCGTCGGCTCAAGATCATTAAGCTTATTATAACAATTTCGCAAAAATAATTTCATCCTACTGGGGTTTTCCTACATGTGAGATGAAAAAATGAAACTCGAGGATCTGTGAACACTGTATATAGCTACGTGTATGAAATGATTCAAAGAATGAAGAAATCTTCAAAATTTGTAAACCAGAGAAGTTTAGTTAGTTTTATATGAAGATGCAATATTGAATGTGACCAAATACTTGAGATGAGGTTATTGCGTTCATACAATAGAGATAACATAGCTCCCCTCATATATGGAGTGGTGTGTTCAACGTTCGTTCATGGAACAGGCTTCCTTCTGACAAAATTTTATACAAGATCATCCTTCTATATAATTCGTTTTTAATTATCTTTTATTACTTTACTTTATTTTTAAAAGCCATCACAATAATTTCGAGTTCCTAGACAAAGACGCTTGGGTGTGTAGAAGGCAATGCCCTCTGCAGCTAAGCGCATTGGGCATTGGGCAGCTATTCGCAGCCCAATGCATCTCTGCTTGCGGGGCTGAAGCCGATAACAAAGGCTCCAGAGACCGGTATTAGCTCCTGCGATGCTGTCTGGCTCCACATTCATGTTTTTTACTTGAGTAGCCACCGCGGACGCTGCAGGCCGCAGTCTTAAAATCGACGTTGCTGGCAGCGGAGGTATGTCTTAACAATGGCCTCGGTCTATGTGTTTCCACACCTTTTTTGTTAAATATTCTTTAAATATAAATATTGTTTGCAATAAAATCGAGTTTTCATGAAGTAAACTGGGAGATGTGAATAAATACTAGACTTTATAAACATCAGAAAGTCAGCCAATTGAACATGAGGAAGGCGTGGCGTCAAATCGAAAGTACAACTTTGTGATGGCCATTCCGCTAAAAGGCTGTGTGCATAGCATGGGCGGTGTGAACGACCTGCATGCCAACTATGCGTTTGAAACCAAGACAATTGTAGAAATGTGTGAGAATGGACTGATATGCCATAGTGCTTAAGGCAATTGTCATGGAATGGGTGAATTACTAACGTTTTTTGTTCATTCATATCGTCTAAAGTCATTAACGTGAACATTTTAGATGCATCTTTGGGTACTTACATTCATAAACTTTTATGCACGATATTTCCGCAGTGATTTCTATCCGTTAGATTTCATTTGCAAAAGGTATATATTTAATGCCACATTTGTTGTAAAGTGTTTCAAGTTACGCATTGCGAAAATATTCGCTGCATACTTCTCTTAAGCTTCTCCTTCATTGAGCCCTTGCCTAATGAACGGCTAGCGCTTTTCGAGCTGAAGAGCTCAATAATCAAACACTCCATTAAATAAGTTTGCATTCACTGAAATATATGGAACTTTTGCGAACCAAAAAACTGAATTATTTGAAATTGTGGCATTGCAGTGACCTTTGTTTATTGTATTATTATTTTCCCCAGATTCTAGGCGGCATGTGGTCACTGCAAGTGTTCACAGTTTTCGCGTTCGCTTACGTTGCCTCGGGACAGTTTGAGTGAGTATGGACGTAGACATACATATACGCTGGTCAGCTCGTGATACTTATGCACTAATAATTTCGTAGTAAAATAAATTTTTCGTCTAATTTTCTAACGTAATTTTTTACAACACTTCTCTTTAACTTCACATCATGTTGTTTGTTTGTCTGCTACAAATCTCAAAAATCGATATTTAACACACTTATACTGTACCTCTCCAATAGATCTGAAATTTTACACACTTGCGTTAAGTTTGAGGCAATACATGATTTAATTGACAGAATAAATAATTTGGAAAAATTACCATTCTTCTAAATTTTAAAAATAGAATTAAAAAATTAACTTTTTTTGATAATTAATAATTAAATTAGAAATTCATTGAACATGTGTAACATCGGAGACATTGGATTCTTTATAAGTGTCGTCTTTAAAATATAATTTTTAAACGCATATTATTCTTCTGATGTGCATTCTGCAGAATTGTTTGCCGCCAGCTTGATACCGATGCTGATAGTGCTAACTTTTTGCCAGGCTCCCCAACCCGTGGACATGGCGGTGCGTGCCACAGGAAGGCAAAGATTCAGTGTGCGTCAAGGAGCTTGTGACAGCGACTACGTCAGGTACTTCCAGCAACGCAGCGTGTAAGATAACATGTGGCAAGTACGGCCCATTGTGGCCTAAGCCAAAGTCTGCTAAAATCGGAAATGAGGTTCAGTATTTTTTACCTTCGGCAGTCTCCGAGAACATAGTAGCCAGCGAAGCAGATAAGGCTTTAGTTGTCCAGGCCGTGGAGATCTTCAAAGATAACTTGAACGCATATCATCCCGGATACAAAAAGAGACAAGTCGTTTGGCGATCTCGGGATGGAGCCAAGTTTATTGAACTGCGTGTTTCTATTGAAATAGAAGGCCCTTCCCAGTCTCATTTGACATTAGACGTAAGCGACGAACAGTACTCATTGTTCGTCGAAACGCTCCCTTCGTCATCAATTACAAATGCGACCATCAGAGCGAAAACTTTCTTTGGAGCTCGCCATGGACTAGAAACTTTGAGTCAATTGATTGACTATGAAGAAGCCGAAAACAGTCTCATGATCGTTAACTCTGCGGACATAGCAGATCAACCATCTTTCACCTACCGTGGTCTCCTACTGGACACTTCCAGGAACTACATATCGGTGGACAGCATCAAACGAACCCTTGACGCTATGGCAGCCAACAAGCTTAACACCTTTCACTGGCATATCACAGATTCACATTCCTTCCCAATGGTATTGAAATCTCTACCCAAGATGGCATATTATGGATCCTATTCAGATCGAGATTTGTATCAACCTGAAGACATCCGCAACTTGGTCGTGTATGGACGAGTGCGAGGGGTGCGAGTGCTGCCTGAGTTCGATGCTCCAGCCCACGTGGGAAGTGGCTGGGAATGGGGACCGCAAGAAGGCCTCGGAGAGCTCACCGTGTGTTATAAACAGGTATACACATTTACAATTTAGTCAAAGGCAGAAAACTTCAATGTGATATTTTAATCAAACATAAATTTTGAACGTAACACGTTGAAATTCTCTCAGGAAAGTGCAACTTTTTCATAACATGTTCTCAAAATATTGAGAGCCAAAGCCAAAAATAAAATTCGAACTGAAAGAAAAATGGTTAGTTTATTTAGTTGACACTGTTTGATATATTTAGACCATTTCTTTATTTTTATTAAAAACTTTCAGGAGCCCTGGCAAGAGTACTGCGTTGAGCCGCCTTGCGGCCAACTGAACATTGCAAATGAGAACATCTACCCAGTTCTGGGCAAAATCTACAAGGAAATGGTTGAATTGTTCGGCCCCATTGACATGTTCCATTTTGGAGGCGATGAGGTAATGGAAAAATCAAGACTAACTTGACAATAAATTGGGTTTATGCAGTTGCAATTTATGTTTATTAATGAGGTTTAGGTTGAGGTTTATTCGAAGAAAATGTGTTTACGACCAAAACAAAGAAATACTGTTACAGCGCAAGCTTGATAAGCACAAAACATAAGAATTTGCATGTAAAATATTATGAAAATGTATGAAATGTGTATTATGCACGTATTTTTGTCTCTTCAGTTGCAAATAGCAATATCTCAATCTACTAAATTAATCAACAAATCTGTGATAAACTACATATTGAACAGAACAAATATTTACAATGTAAAATTAGGATTTCCTTTTGACCTGCAATGTTTGGAATAGATTAAATTTAGATAATTGTAATGCATGGAAGTGATATTGAATTTACAAAATTAAACGTTCTTAAATAATAACAATGACGCATGATTTCATTTTTCACGAAGGTGAACTTAAATTGCTGGAATTCCTCTGAAGAAATTGTCAACTACATGAGCTCGAATAGAGTCGATCGCTCAGCAGACTCATTCTACGGGCAATGGAGTATCTTCCAAAATCGAGCCTACGACCTTTTGACTGAAGCTAATAACAACCTGCCCGTGCCAGGCATTCTCTGGACATCCCATCTCACAGAAAAAGGACGCACAACACGTTTTTTGGACAAAAATAAATACATCATTCAAATTTGGTCTACTGGAACCGACCCTCTGATCAAGGAACTGTTAGAGAATAAATTTAGGGTTATATTCAGTAACTACGACGCTTGGTATCTGGATTGTGGCCTCGGTGCGTGGGTTGGTGATGGACATAACTGGTGTTCGCCATACAAAGAATGGCAAGCCGTCTATGACAACAGCCCTAATAAAATTGCTCTTAATCTCTCCAGCACTGTTGACCTGAGCCTGATTCTAGGCGGCGAAGCCGCTCTGTGGTCTGAACAAGTCGACAGCGAGAGCGTCGATGTCAGGGTGAGAACAGAATGACATATCGTTTTTTTTGCAATAATATAAAAAGCTTTTCCTGCTTGTGGTAAAACATGAATTATTTTATCTCTATTCGGTATGACAGAACGGTCTATTCGGTTGCGGACAAAATCAATCGTTTATGAGAATTAATGAAGCAAGTAAAATCCACTAAACGGATTCTTCATCTGTGTCTGTGTTTCAATTCTGCCCAAATATGAATTTTGGGTGAAATTTTCAGTTACGTTTACTCTTAATGGCAAAGAAATTCATCAAATAAGTATTCTATGATACGTAAGACAATTTACATTCGACAGCTGTGGCCGCGCGGTTCCGCTCTCGGTGAGCGCCTGTGGAGCGACCCTGACCACGACTGGAGGGACGCAGAGTACCGCATGGTCAACCATCGCCAACGCCTCGTCAAACGCGGCGTCCAGGCCGATCGTCTCCAGCCTGAGTGGTGCCACCAAAACGAAGGGCTTTGTTACATCAACAAAGCATAATATCATAGATGCATAAATAAATGCACAACGTAGGTAAAAAAGTAAAAAGATATGATAATGCGTGTTTTTATTTGGTTAAGTTAATATCATCCAAATGAGGTTGAGAAATACTATCTTCCATACATTGAGAACATTTACGTATTCAGTCCCAAATAAAAAAAAATCAAGACATAAACATGAAGTTGTGGATCCTGACACGGCGAGGGATATAAATTGTTAGTAAACGTCAGTTTCAGTAAAATTTATTGCATTTCGGCCAATGAAAATTATTAGTGAAATATAGCTAATATAGGCCGTAAATTTATAAAATACCAAAATGCGCATGAATGGACGAGAGCTTTTTAAAGTCAAAGTTGGTTCCCGTTCTGCAGTTATGCATGAATGCATGTGCAAAGTTTCATCGAGCTGCGATCATTAGTTTGAGAAATATTTTATGTTCACTGAATCTTGGAGACCGCTCGGGTGACCGGTCGAAAAGTATCGGAGAGGTGCGGTAGCTCCTTTCCTCCTGCATTTCATTGGTTTTACTAGAATATGCACTCCTATGAAATTAAACTATAAAAATAATTAATTTCGACACGAATTTATGTTTTTAAGATAATTTATAAAATTACACAAAACCGCTATTAGTTTTTTGTGTAATTTTATAAATTATCTTCTAACAAAAATTCGTGTCGAAATTAATAAGCTTTATAGTTTAATTTCATAGGAGTGCATATTCTAGTAAAACCAATTAAATGCAGGAGGAAAGGAGCTACCGCACCTTTCGGATACTTTTCGACCGGTCACCCGAGCGGTCTCCAAGATTCAGTGAACATAAAATATTTCTCAAACTAATGATCGCAGCTCGATGAAACTTTGCACATGCATTCATTAGAATCTAAGAGCGATGTTTAGATCGTGTTCATTTTTTCCGATTTCGCTGTCATTTGCGACGAATCAAGGTTATAAGCGGAATTCAATACATAAACAAAATTTGTATGGAGCATTATCATTTGATTACAGTTCACGTTCGTCGCAAACAAAGGCGAAATCGATAAAAAGACCACGACATCGCCCTTAGCTCATGGTGAACACATTTGCAAAGTTTCATCGAGCTGTGTTTGTTAGTTGCGGAGACATTTCATATTCACTTCAGATAGAACAATTGACCGCAAAAATGCCGGTCGCTTCTCTGTATAGCTGCATAACTCGCAATTGCACGAGCTAAACATTACCTTAGGTTATTAGATATCTACAGTGTACATTCAAAGTTTCGTTCAAATCTGTTCAGCAGTTTAGAATACATTTTATGTTTACTGCAAATTTTGGCCCGTATGACTGTTAAGTTGGAAACTCAGGCAAAATCAAGAAGATAATCACGAGTCACGGTCTAAACATCACCGTCATGTTCTAATGAATACAAGTGGAAAATTGCATCTAGCTCTATGTATAAGTTTGCTAGATATTTTATGTTCACTAAACCTTGTATACCGGCCGCAAAAGTGTCCGAGAGGTACCGGAGAGAAGTGTCATAATATAAATAATAATAATCAACTGGACTGTCAGTTCACTTTTTTCGACATGTTATCACCAAAAACCACCGCTAAGCTTTTAAATTGAACAAAAGTTGTGAAAAAATTGAATAAAAGTCTTGCATCAATGGATCAAACGAATGTTGCTTTTCTGAACGAGCACACAATTGGCAGCCTCTTACCACGAGATTCGCATATTAGCATGGGTTTTATAGTATGGTAGAACCTTCTCACTGCATATGTGCCGAAAAATTTTGTGGTTACTTCTGAATTCTGTATGTAGATTCATATACTTGGTCTTTTAGAATTTAACTTCCATTATTGCATCATGTTTGATACTGGGTAGCACGACTTCTCTGATTCTGATTAGCTGCTGGTGCTGCCACCCACTGTGACTGGGCCAATAGGAACGCATGAATCGTAATGACGTGAGTCACAGACTCACAGTCTAAGAAAATAGGCTATATTGGGTTTTTTAATCGACATTGCCCAGTAATGCCCACAATTATTGACCGAATTATTTTTGTGTGATAATCAATGTTAAAGCGAGCGCGGTATAAAAATGACCTTTTCGGTAAGTAACTATCACTTTGTTTTTCTTCTAATTTCAATGTTGCACCTTGCTGAAAAGGCTGCAGCATACTTCTTGGCCTTCTTGCTCCTCCTGCGGCGTGCGTTTCTGCCATTGCTGGGCCACTGGCAGGGCCGCGTTCGCGCGTTGTAACAGTAAAATGCAATAATCTTACCAAATTGCCACGGTGCCACCTAAGCAGGCTAAGCTAAAGCATAATGACAAACCACAGATTCGTTTAGAATCAGTTCATTTTTATTTTCATTATCTAATAAGTAGGTAGGTATTTAAACCAATTTCTTATGTATGCTAATGCAACTTGCAAGCAAGTAAGCCAGCCCAGCCATAGCCAATTAGCCACTAGCCTAGCCAGGTTGGTTACTTAACTTAGTCTTGGGTATAGATACTAAGAGTCTAAGATGGTAGGCTAGGTAATTTGTGCACTGTTGCACAATGCACATAATAATTTTTTCCCTCTGATCTTGATGAAAATTATAGGCTAGGCTACTGCTGGAAAAAGAAAAAAATGAGAAAATTACTATATATTATTAGTATCGCTATTATTACTATATATCTTTTTCATTTTTAATTAAACTTATAGCTAACTTGCTAAGTAAATTAGGTAGTATTACTACCTAATTTACCTAGCTTAGGCTACCGTCAATGCCACTAAAGTCGCCACCTCACTAAAGTCGCCATGCTACAGGGAAAAGGAAATATATATTGAAATGGACCCAATACGAACATTTCATTACCATAGGAAAATACTAGAACATTTATTAATATTGCTTAAAGATATTACAATACATTTCCGACATATAATTTGTAATTAGTTTTGAGATTCCAAATCAACATGACGAAAATGCTGCAAGCAACACGAATTTTTTCCTTCTCCTGTCTGCACCGCATTTGGGCGATGGTCTATTGCAGAGAAAATGTTTTCCGTACCATCTCGAGGTCATTCCGAGCTGAAACGCAATAAAAAGAGGTTCATATTGCTTCTACTCCAAATTCTAAAGACACTTTAATATAGTCATTAATTTATTCTAAATATACCTGGCGACTTAAGTGCATATACATTTGGGATAAATGGCGAGGTTTGTGTAGGAAATTTGCTTCATGAGGCAGGACTTGAAGGATAATTTCCGTTGCTAATTTATACTAACAATGTAATGGTAGTGTCAGAGTGTTGCCTAAAATAATTCAAGAATCGTTCCCCATTGATGTTCTTCCCAACAGAATTAGCAATTAATTTTTAAAAACGTTGTAAAACGACTTCAAAAGTCGCGCACGACACTCTTGCATTGATCGGAGTTACGCGAAGTGAATATAGCGCTGCATTGAAGTGTCTGAGCTCGTTGGAATAAGCGTGACACGAGTCGACTTTCTTACACATAATCTTAATAAGGTAAACTACCTCGTTCAATATCGTAAAATGAAGAGATTAAAACAAATAAAAACAATTTCACGCACTTAATTGAACTTTAAAGGATAAAACTCACGGGATAAATATTTACATACGTTATTTTGCGTGATCAAAACGAACGGTACATGCATTTGTTCGAGTATGTTAATACAATTATTTTTTACCATTCAAGAAGACTTCATGAAAAGGAACAAAACTAAGATTGTGGAGGCAGAAGGACATGGATAGGGCTCTTGCAGCCGGCCCGCTGAGATTAGAATCTTCCCGCGTTGGCCGCTGCCCGTACGTTCAATGTGTCACGCAAGACACTCACAGATCGCCTCTCGATATGAGTCAAGGAAGACTGTGCCGGCAAACCAACAGCGTTGTCAGCAGAGCATAAGCTGTCGCTCTGTAATTACATCGAGTATGTGACAAATAGAGGTTTGTTTTCCTTTGACCATGCCCAAAATTTCAATGTTTGCCTGGTGCATTGATTGCAGGTCCAAGAGACATTTTTGGAGAGAGAGGCTTCGCTACCGACGCTACGCATGGGGGTTGAAGTTTAGTTCCAGAAAGCCTGAGTCGGTCAAACATCGGAAAGCTGAATGCTTAGATCGCGGCCGAGCAATTTTTTCAACAAATGAAAATTGGATCAATTCTTTAGGATTACTGCGAGAAGCTCATGAACGTGATAACGTTAGTGAACGTCCCCACGACATGGTGTTGGTGGACCTCAGCAAGTCCTCGCAGAATGTTGTCTTGCCTCGGCGAGTGAAGAATTCCCATTCTTGACACGTGGCAAATCAATAACACAGAAGCATCGATTGCTGTGTTTCACCGTACTGCATTGCAATGGCTCCAATGATCATTTTTAAAGCCGCATTTCCAGGAGGCAACTAATTAAGCTACTGAGGTGTCTCCGACAAAGCTTTGGACGGCAAACGAGCAACTGTCTCTGTGGATTGTGAACTTGTCCTACGGTGGCTCACACTAAAATTTTTGGCATTTGCTCAGCCATTAACAGATGAACCAATAATTCTGCTGCTCGATGGCCACGCCATCGAATCAAGGAATCATTATATGCCCAGTATAGACATAGCATTGCAGAATTTTCACAGCTTGTTGCGGTTTCGAACACTCACCTCAGTGCTCTAATTTTGCCGTGCTTAAACCGCCCGGCCTCNTAGGTACATGGTATCAGAATAATTTTTCATACGCGATGTTCATCCATAAGGTGCATTTTTACGATAGAGTAGAAGCGAATGAATGGAATGAACACTGAGCAGCCCTCCCAACATCGATGCAGTGAAAAGGACAGCTTCTACCAGTCACGAAATTACATCTTAGTGGAAAATGGAAATCCACTGAAATATGGTAGCTAGAAGAAAGACATATTCCTTTGGGTTTCGTTTATTTTCGACCAAAAGCAATATTTTAATTTTTTTCCATTAATTTGTTGAAGAAAAACCGAAGTTGGAGGGTTGGTTCCGCGTGAATTTGAGGCTTTCTCTACTGTACCTTACGTATGCGCTATTCACGAAAAGACTGCAATAACCTCGCCAGGCTATGGCGACTTTAGTGTACCCTTAGTCAATATCGCTGGCGACTTTAAAGTAGGTACTATATACCTCGCCACTCCCGACGAGTCTCGTGAACTTCCATTTTATTATATGATCGAGCAATAAAAAAATTTAGTGACTTTTTTTCTCAAAAGTCTAAACATAGGCCTACCCAGCACACGTGTTACATTTAATTTTTAGCGTCTTGGTGTTTCGAAATTTAATATATTGTAGTGGGTTTTCTGAAAGTGGCGACTTATGTGGCATTGACGGTAGCTATAAGTTGAATTAAAAATGAAGAAGATACCTACTATGAATTTTTTCCTTTATTAAATTACCTATGTCTCCAAAATGGACAAATTTTTGCTACTTTTTGTGAAAAACTATCATTTCTAGCCTTCTATGTTTCCTAGTACTATAAACCATTTTCAAATATTTTCTCTTAAAATTGGCATTTGTTGTAGGCTATCTAACTAAAATAAAACATTTTGGTTGAGCCATTGAGAGTTTGTAACTTTAACTGCAGGTGGGTACTGGGGTGGTGGTGCACCGTGCTGTCACTGCTGTACGGCGCTGGGTGCCAGGTCTCATAGTGTGGCACAAGAGTCGTTGTAAAATTTATCTCAAGGTCATCTGGTCGTTGAACAACCGCATGCCAGTCGATAGTCGATAACACTTTTTTTGAAATTACATAAAGACTATGAGAGGCAGGAGCCAGCAATTTATGGTGAGTGAAGCTAGAGTATAGACCTGTATTTTGCATGTTTCAATTTAAGTTTTATTTAGCTAGTAAAAAAATGGCATCATTCATAAAAAAAGTGGTCTAAGTTACCCCATTTTACAGTACAATTGGATTGAATTCTCTAATCAAGAAATCAGCTATGAGCCTATGAATGATGACACTTTGCAAATAAATTAACAGGTGGTTTTGGCACCAAATTTTACAAAGATACGTATGTTACCAGAAAATAATTATGCATTAGAAAATGTGATTAAGCTAAGCCTTTTCCTTCTTAATTTATGGGTTGAACTTTGAAGTCTTGAACTCGATAATTGTATTTGCTATTTTTTTACTGTATGATTTAAAGCCTATGGTATGTTTATCAATTTCCAGTTTATCATGTCAATCAGTCAATCATATACTTCTCTCGGCAGAGTTTTTAAGTAACATCCTACTGTCAGGTTCAGCACAAGGGTCTCGGCGCAAAAACAAGTTCTCTCTTACTGGCAGCATGACTTGACAAGGAGAATGACACAAACAATTATCTCAAACTTCATATACTAAGAAAAGAAAAAGAACCTATCTTGATACAGAGCTGGGCTTAGTGAAAATGACGAGGTCAAAAGTCTACTTGCAGAGAACCAAACACAATAATTGAAGTAGCTATACAGACGCTAATTCCCAAGTAGCTATATGGACGCTAATTCAGCCCAACACAATAATTCAAGTAGCTATACAGATGCTAATTTCCAAGCATTAGCATGATCACCCTTAAATTCCTATCGTGTACATCACCAAAGATGTGACGGAGGCGTACTTTGGAAGACTTCTCCGGGACTTGTTCAGTCATAATCCGGGCAGTAATTGGACCTGGCGTTGGTTTCTTCTCAGCAGTATCTTCTAACGCGGCTGGTTGGATGTCGTAACACGGTTGGATCTGAAGGGACATTGTGACTAGGGATTTTAATTCTCGATATGTGATGGGGCGTGCGTTTGAAGACTTCTCCACGACTTTGTAGATGTTGGCTTCAAGCATATACTAACTAGGCAGTATCTCCTTCTCTCAGTGATACCAACACGTCATTCAATCTTCTTCTTGTAGCTAATTCTCCGAAGGCGTACCAAATTCTTCTCTGATGTCCTACTCAATGAGACAATACTTCACCAGAATACTGTCCTTTACACTTCACTCTATCGATCACACTGGTGAGTCTCCAACACGAGACTTCCTCACAGAACGCTGGATGATTCTAAATGTGCTCACAGCACAAGACTCCCTTTGGGCACACTGGTTGACACTTACTGAGCTGCCTCA